CGTCTTCATAAAGTATATTGCAAATAAATTTAAAAGTTTAAAAATTCCCTCTTGATCAAAACGACAATCGCTCAAATTAGTAGGACGATTTATAAAAAAGGATTAAAATCTTTCTCGAGTTGGAAAATTGCAACTATCCTTCGACCGCTTCAACTTACCTTCTAAGAAATTTCCATAATAGTCAAATTGAGGCAGCCAGTGTAACTTGAGCTTCCTTACGCCTTTTATCTTATCTATTTACATGGATAACCAAGCTCAGGTTAATTTAGGCGTCTTACAAATTTTTGCCAGCTTTGTTTTGCGGGTATTAGAATCAAAATGGACTTTATTACAACGGCGTAAGTTGTATTTTGGTTTTGTGATAGTTAATTTTGGATTTAAAGGATAAGGCAGCTTCATTCATTACGTACAGTGACGCAGGTCTGTGAAAAATGATGTCTTTCGACCTTACTCAAACTGTGAATAGAGTAGTGTTAAATATAGACGCTTGGAGATAAAACTTTTCTAATATCAGGTAAACTCACCTCATTAATGCGTTTTTTTAAACGAATTTTGCCCGATTTCACCAACATCACTTAAGCTACCACCTACGTATGGGATCCCTAGCTTAAAAGTTCCCCTAAACTAGCCCCTAAATTAAATTTCATTTTACCATCATCAGGTATTTCTAGTACCTATATTCAGGTGACATTTTAACATTTAGGTGACCCCTAACTGTCGGTAAAACAGAAATTGTCCCCTAACAGCCCCCTAACCATGTTTAGGGGATCCCTTAAACTTAGGTGACTTTGGTGAAATCTACCATTTATATAGCAATTCCTTCTGGGATTTACTTATAATTCATGTGAAAAATGGTATAGATATACGCACATATATAAGTTCGTATTAAAAATTACTTTAATAATGGTATATATTACTTTAATAATGGTATACAAATGAGGGGCGTGCATACAACATAAGATATATTCATATGCGTAAGATTGCATTTTTAGTTGGTTCGATTACCGGTGTAGGTAACTTCTTTTAAAAAAAACTAAACACAGTTACCCTTATTTTACAAAAATAAAATAAACATTATTTTATTTTTGTAAAATAAGGGTAACTGTATTTAATAGTAAATTATCCAGTATTTAAGACACTTTCCTTCTATGTTCAGTGCGTTTGTTCAACGATATTAGTTAAGAGTCGAAATGCATAAATTGTAAGATTTCATAGTATTGAAAATTGTATGTTTGTTCGAGAGATATTATTCTTACCATAGACTCTATCGGTTCGTTCAATAAAATAGTGAAGGTGCATTATACTGTAGTTTTAGGTGATTCGATTACCAGTTCAGGTAAGCTTTTAAAAAAAATTTAAATGCAGTTATTTTTTTTTAAATAAAGGAATATTTCCTTTGAGTAAAACTTGATAACTTCAATATTTAAAGTGTTATTCTTTCATGTCCCATCCATTTGTATCATCCTGTATATTATTATGATACCTATAAACAAACACATTTTTTAAGTATTCAATACACAACTTTGACCACATAACAAGTTGATTATCTAATGTATAAAATTCTCGTGTTACAGTGTTTGTAACAAAACTTCTCCGAAACGGCTTGACCGATTCTTATTAAAATTTTGTGTGTATATTCAGTAGGTCTGAAAATAGAACGTAAACAATTTTTCATGCCACTAAGTGACAAGGGTGGTCCACCCCAAAAAAAATGTTTTTTTTTATTTTTTGGACAATTTTTTTTTATGATTCGGCATTAAAATTTCATACTAAACCTAAATTTTCACTAGGGACGAACCCTAAATTTAGTTTTAATTATTATTAAAATTTAGTCGATTAGTTTTTTACTTAATAGTAGGTGCATATTTTTGTCTTAATCGATAAAAAAAAACTATTACCCTAATACAAATATGTAATATCTAGTTCTTACTTTAGTATAATGGTGATGATTTAATCCATTTTACAGAACACTAAATGGCTATGTAGTATAGTTATGTATATTATCTACGTACCTACCTTTCAGTAACCGTAACCGTAATTTCCAGTAACAATAGCCAGGTCATAGCCTACTTGTGTACTTAATTTCTTCCAAATCCGTCCAGCAGTCTCCGTGTGAACGATTAACAAACATTTTGCATAATATTTGTTATCCCCTATACAGTGCCGTATTTAACCTTAGGACCGCCCCTGGGGATAATAAAAAATGCCGCCCAATTATCGAAATTTTGCATAAAATGACTAAAGTTTCGATAAAGATTTAATTTTTTTAATTATGGTTTTTTTTAAAAATGAAGAAAATTAATATATAAATGATATCAATTTTTCGAAAAATGTACCTACTAGTTAATCTTTTTTATTTTTTTATTTTTAGTACAATAAAAAAAGCATTTTCGATAACGCGAAGATTTTTTTTTCTCGCCCTCTGAATTTTGCCGCACCCAAAAATTTGCCGCCCTGAGCATTAGCCCCGAGTGCCCCTAGTGTAAATCCAGCGCTGCCCCTTTACGTACACATAAACTTTCGTTTGTAGTAGTCCGATAAAAACTAAGATTATTGATAGAGAATTCAATGAGCTTTTGGCTTTCCGCTCGCCACTAGCGACAGCAAACGTCTCATAAATCGATTCTGTCCTTTAAAAATAATATATTGATCTTAATAAAAATGTAGTAAAGTGCGGAAAATCTTACAGTTTGGTGAAATTTTCAACTAGAGTAATAGATTTGAAACGGTTGAATTTACGACATAATACTCTTTCTACGAGCTCATATAACATTTTTATGGTTGTCATAGACGTATCGTTTTTTACACTAGAATCGAAATGATATTGACACTATAAATTTGAATTTTTCTAGCATTCACATAGTTTTCAAATTGTATGTTCAATACTGAGTAACAGTTTTATTATGGACATTTATGAAAAATTACCTGCTGAGCAAGTTTATCATCTCGCAAAATTTGTTAGCAAATTAGGTAGGAGGAGGCTTAATTTTATTTTATATTCCACTAGCGACTTTCCCTTCACGGTCATAGTCTGTGTCCTAAATTTTATCATAATTCGTCCAGAAATTTCTGCGTGGAAGAATAACAAATATGCAAACTTTAGCAATTTAGGTCGTAAGGTAAACTAAACACTATCTAAACCTATTCTATAGTTCTCGTTAACAATTTTAAAGAGCATAGAAAAGACGACAAAATAATTTGTATATTTAAAAAGTTTTTATAACCAGCTTTCAGCTCCATCACTAAGCTATTATTTTAAACTAGCGACTCACCGTCGCTTCGCCCGGGTTCGTCCCTAGGTACATTTTAATTTTTTTACCCTAATTCTTTTACTAAAATATAAAAGTAGCCTAAGTCACTCCTAATAACGTCAAGTACCTGCCAGTGAAAGTCCCGTCAAAATCGGTCCAGCCGTTTCGGAGATTAGCCGGAACAAACAGACAGAAAGAGACACAGACAATAATTTTAAAAATTGTGTTTAAAAATAAATACCATATATAATTCAATATGCATTTAGTAAAAAGCTGTTATTTTGACATTACAAACAGACACTTCAATTTTTATTTATCTGTATAGATGTGAAAGTTTGTATGTGAAACGGCTGCACGGATTTGGATGAAATTTACTTCACAGATAGATATAACCTGGAGTAACATGTAAGGTTTTAGGCACCCGAGAAATGCGAGGGCAAATACTAAGTATAAATTGATTTTCTGTATCTTAGGATACTTATACATATTCTTAGGAATATCACTGGGAAAAGGTACGTTAGTATGAAGCACTATCTAAAATATTAATTACTTGGTTGTTTGATTCCCCATACAAATCATCCCCATTTTCACCCTCTTAAGGGATGATCTCCGTAATAAAAATATCATATATCATTTCCAAGGTCTTAAACTATCTTCTTACCAAGTTTCAACTAAATCGGTTCAGTAGTTTTTGAGTTTATTCGTTAGAAACATACAAAAATACAAATCTTTCGTCTTTATAAAATTAGTGTAGATGAATTGTTATTATTTCGTTGAAATGTTATGAATCATTCATAATAATATCAATATTTATACATTTTGTTTACGATATTTATAAGAATCGATTGTAATTTGTAAATAATGTTGGCAATTCAAACAAATAGTAGGTAACAACTAGGTACATTCGGCGACATAATTAGGTTATTTTTAATTTGAATATTTGTAATATTTTTTAAAAATTTTCTTAATAAATATTATTTAATTTTCTTAAAAAATAATAATTAATGTTATTTTTACGAGAAAAACATTCGTCACATTAAAGGATGTAAAGATAATAATATTTATTATCAACGTTTATACTATTTGTTTATAATTTAATTTTTATTATTTAAATATTTTTTTCATTGTATTATAATATAGCTATATCATGGTATATTAAGAGATATAGGTTACTATTAAGTTATAACTATAATAAACAAAATTATACTCACTCTCCTCCTGTCATCCTACGTAACATAAGCGTAATACGCCTAAAATACAAAAGTAAAAAAAGTACACTATAATAATGATAAATGATTTATCAAATACGTGTTGCCTTCGTTTTTTCCTATATTATTTTTCTCGCCCTCCCCAATATACATATATCCTGCAAACATTTAAAAACCGGCCAAGTGCGAGTCGGACTCGCGATCAACTGTCTAACTATCACCGTTCATGAGATACATCCTGGTGACAGACAGACACCTGTCTGGTAGACGGACGGACAGCGGAGTCTTAATAATAGGGTCCCGTTTTACGCTTTGGATACGGAACCCTAAAAAAATATTCTACAATTTATGACTTACAACTGTTATTTTGTGCCCCACTGTACTTTCATATATTTAAATGATACGTTACAATAAACAATGTCATTAGGGAATCACAAATGAACAAGTGATAATGTGCTGTGAGATAAGTTATAGAGAAAGTTTGTAATTGTTACCGTTAAACATTCAGTTATAAACTATTGTAGATTTAACTTTGTTAAACATGGTATGTATGTATTTGTACTCGTATAGTAATAATGTATTGTGTATTCAGACCTTTTTCACATCCCACTGATGGGCGTGGGCCTCCCCCCAATACTAGGGGGATCAGGCCATAGTCCACCACGCTGGCCAAGTGCGGGTCGGCGGACTTGTAACTTGGACATGTCTTTCGAAAATCTGATTCTCTCAGACATGCAGGTTTCCTCACGATGTTTTCCTTTACCGTAACGCAAGTGGTAATCATGTTAGAAATTATTCCTACATGAAAATATCAGAGCCCCATACAGTATATAAGTGTATAATCTATGCCCATACCACTGCCCCAGAGTAATAATATAGGTAAAGATACAAAGATTAGTTTTATTTTATTTTTACACATCATCCTCCGATTCGGTCTGATTATCCGATTCGAATATCCTCCGGTCCGATTTAAAAACAAACCTTTTAGGAACGCATAAAAGACAAACATCCTTAGAAAAATATTTTTAGCGCTAGTAACCTTTGCAGGCACATGCAGTATAACCCACCAGGGTTTCATCACAATCGGATAAATAGTTTAGCAATACGTAAGGGACAAACATACGGATATTTATTTTTATAGATTTAATCCTTCCACGACACGCCGGCGTGTCAGTTCACAATAGATTTCTTAGAATTTTAATTAATTTCTTAGAAATTTACCTAAAGGTGTTAAAGGAAATTTGTAAGCTATCTGGCATAAAGCTACGAGTCTTAGAAGTGGAGTAATCCTATTAATCCCATTAATATTATAAACTCGAAAGCTTGGATTGATGGATGTTTGTTACTCAATCACGTCAGAACGGCTGAACGGTGAAACGTCTAGGATAGCACATAGGTTACTTTTTATCTCTGAAAAAAATACGGCTTTCGTGGGATAGATTTGTTTTTATTTTTCACACAGCAAGGGATTGTCTATCTATTTCAAACTAATCGTTAAAACTTACCTTGGGACGAAACCGAGCGAAGCGAGAGTGAGTTGCTGGTAGGTACATAAATTAAGCAAGCTAAGATGCGAGCAAAAGAAATATATGCATTAGTAGAAACTGATAACAATTTGCTTCGTTTTAGTTAAAAACAACTCGGTGTCATTCTGTTATCGGGTGTATTATTAAGATTTTGTTTCAAAATATAAATGTAATTTTAAGTAAATATCTTTTAATTTCAGATGCTGAACGCCGTGTTAATTACCTTATCCCTAGTCACATACACTCAAACCAGTCCTGTTATAACTCGCGAGTACTTACTAAAAAAGCAAGCACATCAAGCTCACTTCTGCTCCAATTTAATACATTTCAACAATATCTTCTATTCAATAGACGAACCCAAAAATGTGTCCGGCATACCAGCAGATATGAGTATTCATTGGAAAACCGGAAATATATATTACACGCTTATAAGCGACGAAATGAAAATGAGCTTACAAGTTATACATCCTAGTGGTGAAATTGAACCTCTGAAAGTGTCTGGCTTAGGTCAATCAACGACCGTTGATAACCTTAATGATATAGTATATCTCGCTACTGATAATGGCGTATATAAATATAAAGAGGACGGCTCAATCGAACTATATACAGCTTTAGGAGAAGACGTTATGTACTTAGCAGTTTCGAATGATGGCAACACAATGTATATTGCTACATGGCCACAAAATCGTGTCCAAAAAGTAACTAATGACGGTCAAAAACAAGAAACTTTTCCATCCATCCCAAACGGACACGGTATCACTGTAGATACTAGGAATAATATATTTTTCGTAGCAACAAAGACATCGTATGTGCTAAAGAATGGTCAAAATGTTGCTATAAAAATAAAAGGGTTGCCCAGTGAAAGGATGACCAATGTTTTTGTTAGTCGTTCAGATGAGATATATGCGATGGATGAAAATAGTAATTTATATAGCATTGATGCTGAAAACGCTAGTGCAAAACATTTAGGAACTTTCAATGTGACTGGAGTAAATGCATTTGGTATGGATTCAGCTGATAATATTCTCATTGGAATAAAAGGCTGTATTATGAAATTCAAAGCGTACGAAAAAAATCCGTGCAGCAATCACGAAAAGTAACTCTTTCTGCTTTTAGTAGTTTAATTCATATTTATTTTATGTTAACTAAATATATTTTGTGTAGTCTAGTTTGTGTGAGTTGTTTAACTTTTATGTCACGTGCATGTTATTGAGAATTTTAAAAGGTATAATCGAATTGGAATTTAGTACAAGTTTCTTTAGCATTGTTAGTTGAAGGGTACAGGCAAAGAACAGGGAATGTTGTTATGAATAAACTATGAGAACAAAGCAATTTAAAGTTTAGAAGTATAATATTTTTATTATATCGAAGTATGCAGTAGCTTTTTACTATGTAGATTTTTTGGAAATCCTCCTTCTTTATCGGTATATCATGAACATTCCCAGTTCTTTTCACTTTGGACATAGATAAAAATGTATTTATAGCCATATCTGTTGAGTATTTGTAAAAATCAGTGGTTGGGAATGGAAGTATCATAGACATAGATTCGTTACCAGTACAAAACAAAAAAAAAAAAAACAAAAATTGTAACAATCCCTGTTCTTTGACTGTACCCTCCACTGGTTTATACGATAGAATATTAGTAGGTGCTCCAAATTTTGATTTTATTGAGCTATTCCTTGTTACATGTTTTGAAAATACAAAGCTTAAATACTGTTTTGTTCACTTTCAAAACTTGTACTAGAACCCTAAATAATTTTCTTTAAATAAAATACTTATTGTAACAACCAACATCTCCTAAACAGCATAACATTCCTATTCCATTGATTTTTTTAATTTTTTTCTTTCGATAACCTTACTAAATAATTGTATGCCTGAATATTGTCACTTTTAGTCTACAGTTGACCATGCATTTTTCTTAATCTATATGTAATCTTAATATATATATATATATATATATATAATTCTTCTGTACGTTTGTTTGTTAACCTCCTCCTCCTAAAGGACTGGACAGATTTGGATGAAATTTTATGTGTATATTTTAATGGGCTCCTGGATGGTTTTCAAACAATTGGACCCAGTAGGTGGCGCTGCAATCGGTGTGTCACTAAATTTTCATATAAGGCTCCATTTTCCGAGCAATAAATAAATTTAAATTGTCGATTAAATTAAATAAAAATCGATGTGTGTATGTATGTACACATGTTTCTTATGGACTCCAAAACAGCTGGAGCGATTTTGATGAAATTTTCAGGTAATCTTCAGATTAGCCCAGCGGGTGATCCTGTGAATTTTGTTAGCGATCGGAAGTTTGGACGTGGGAGAAGCTGCTAGTATTAGTATAATATTTTAAAAAGGAAAGATTTGATTTTGTTTGTTTGTACTGAATAGGCTCCGAAACTACTGAACCGACTTAGATAAAATTTAGTAAGACAGTTTGAGACTCTGAGAAAGACTTAGGATAGTTTTTATCCCGGAAATCTTAATGTTTATTTAAGTTTTCCGTTTTTTAATTAAATATCTATCCCGCATCGATTGGTCAAAGTCCCACACCGATACGTTCAGTAGTTTTTACGTGATCGGGTAACAACGGAAAAATCAATTTGATTGTTAAATATAAGAAGATTTTAAATAACTTCTTATATCAGAATGGTAAATTTTTTACAAATACTGTTTGACATACACTTTACGTACACACATAGACATACAATTAATTTCAACTTGAAAGAAGCCATGTCAAATATCTATCTCATTCTCAAGTACTTAAAGTACAAACAGTAGTTTATTATTGTTATTAAGTAGAACTTTTTAAATTATCTTAGTAAACTCTTATCAAGGCTTCCACGAGCAAATATTTAAACTGTTTGTTAAAGGCTAAATTAACATTATTATTCAAAATCAAGTACCTGTGTACATAAATTTTAAATAGACGAAACACAAAATTTTTTTCAATCGCAGGCAACAAAAACGGAACAAAGTTGGAAAAAGACACAGCAGACGTCGCAAGCATCGACGTACCACATCAACTACAACTACCACTGAATCAAATGATGAATATGAGGATTAAATACCAATGATTAAATGCATTTATCACTATTTAAAGTATTTTTTTTTAATTATTGTTATTATATAGAATATTAATTAATGTATATGTTACTGTAAAAGCCTGTATGTTGATAAATCTTAGCTTTAACTAGTATATGTTAAGATTTACCAACATGAGTTGGTAAATGTAAGTATTTTATAAAAAAGAGACGAGCTTTCGAACTTTTACCATCAGAGTTTGGTACATGCTAGGTTTTACCAACGATGGTTGGTAAATGTTGGTTTATCTAAACACTTTGCATATTTGTCCTTGTCGAGGTAAAAGCCCGACTTGGATAACGTAGGTACGCTAAGCATCGTTGGTAAACTAACGTGTAACTCTGATGGTAAAAGCCCGAAACATAGAACTTTTAATAAAAACCTTACATTTACCAACTCATGTGGGCAAATCCTAAGATTTACCAACATACGGGCGTTTACAGTAATGTGTACATCATTTTTGTTTATACGCTATCGCCATCTAGCGGCGTTTACAGAGATTACATGCTTACTTTAAACATTTCGTTTCCTTCAACGACATCTATTATATTTTGATGGAACTTTCAAGTAACGTAGCTAAATACTGATTATTATATAATAGTGATCCACACAAATTAAAATAAATGAAAATATATAAGTTCAGTGGGATCTATCCTGTCTTTTTCTCCTCTGTTTAACAACCGATTTTCTTTTTTTGCTTAGTAGCTATTGACAAGCTTTAAGCTATTATCAATAAAACTTTTGGAAAAAATTTTTTTTCTATATAGACTAGCGACTCACTCTCGCTTCGCTCGGGTTGCTTCCCTATACAAATATTCATCCATACTTTCACCCCCATAAGGGGTGATTTTTGGGATAAAAACTAGCCTATGTCCTTCCCAGGGTCTCAAACTATCGCGGTATGTGCCGCTTGGGCTCCCCAGCGCCATGCCCTGATGGCGGTAGTGGGTGGAGACCTGTCGTTGCGAAGCGTGGTGGGGGCCATGCTACGCGACGAGAGGTCCTGGTCGGCGATGGTCTCCTTCAGCGAGGCCGTCATCTCACTGAAGGAGACGGCGGAGAGGGAACGCGAGGCTAACGCCTTAGCAGACCCTCTTCGTCGCCGTCGGCTGGGGGGGAGGAGGCGCCGGTACGCGCATCTTCTCCCGCCACCCTAGAGGAGCTACTGCGGGGGGGTCTCTCGTTGACTCCCCTGCACGTCATCGGGGCGGTCGGGATGCTCTGTGAATCGAGGGCATCCCGGTTTAGGCGAGGCAGGCCCGCGGGGTACGGGCTGTCCGCAGGGGTGTTGTAGTGAATGCGCAAGCGATCCTACACACCCCATTGCACTGCGGCGACGGGTTCCGCTGTGGGTTTTAGTGAGTAGGAGTCTCACAGTACCCTACCCATTGACGGCCGGTAGGGTCCCCATGATGGGTTTCCCCAGCGTTAACAAAAAAAAAAAAAAAAAAAAAAAAGGGTCTCAAACTATCTTCTTACCAAATTTCATTTAAATCGGTTCAGTAGTTTCGGAGTCTATTCGATACAAACAAACAAAAAACTAATTTTTGCTCTTTATAATATTAGAATAGATAAGTAAATTGTATTCATAGATGTTTTCCTCTCTATAGTAATGATTATGGTACCTGTACCTGTATTGTTTTAGGAAAATAAGCATCTTTTGAAAAACTAAGAAGGGCAGCGGTTAGACTCGAAGATTTCGATTTTTACCACTGCTCTATCGTTGTTTCGATGGTCTCTAATTATTATAATATAGTAGTAAATGGTCATTAATGAGCCAGTTAGTTATAAATAAAGCTAATCCGAAAAATAATTTACATTAAACCTACTTCAAAAAATAATACTACAAAGTAAAAAATAACTGAACGGGGGTTTTTATTTACTATAGAGACCTAATCAGATATTTTCGAAGTCATTGTCAGCCGATGCAAAGCAAAGCATATTTATTTCAATACCTTCTCATATTTACCTATCAAATATTCATATCTTAAAATATTGTCGGCTATATATATAATCTGAATCTCGGAAACGGCTGCAACGATTTCCATGAAATTTAGTATGCAGGGGGTTTCGGAGCGATAAATCGATCTAGATTAGTTTTATGTCTGGGAAAACGCGTGTTTTCAAGTTTTCATGCGGTTTTGTTTCGCATTATTCCACGCAAAATATGGTCGCTAATTCGCACGCTAGGACATAAGCATCATGTACAAGCGGTCAAGGCGCAATTTTGACAACCACAGGTGTCTGGGTTCGTATACCGGTCGGGTACAAAGATTTTACTTTTGTTTTTTTTACTGACTTTTATTGCTAAAAAATACTTTTTTAGGATTCACGTGTTATACTTTGCCATTCGAACAAAAAATACCAAATACTATAAAGCTCATATTAAAAATAAAATTCAATAAAAATGTAAACAAAAAAAAATACTATTGATAATGAAAAAAATAATATTTGAACGAATAAAAAAAATAAAACAATATTTTAAAAGAATATTTATTATTGATTTCAAAATTATTATTCTCAAAAGAATATTCATTTTCTATATTAAATTATGCTCTAAATATTAAATAATTTGGACATCTAAATAAAACATTAGATAAAAGAAATATAATACAAATATCTTTTCCAAAAAGGTTTTAATTTTAAACATAAAAAATATAAATAAATTAATACACGAACACAGCCAAGAACTTTATTTATTAAATTTTACATATTTTATGTCAACTATTGATGGAAATATGAGTCTTCCTAAGAAAGTATTTACCTATTAATTTATATTATTTTTCGATTATATGACGTGACCATTTAAAGCAGGACTTCCCAACCAGGAGGGCAATAGGGGGGCATAGGAAGTTTATTTTGTATAACTTTACATTTAAAATAAATAAAAATCGTTAAAATAATGTGTTTCATTTTAATTAAGAAATTAAAGGTGGCATGATATATAAAGCGTTTAAATAAGAAGTAAAAAGGAACAGAAAAGTAAAAAATAGTAAAGAGCAACAGAAGAAAGGTTGGGAAACCCTGATTTAAAGCATTAAAAAAAACAACAAATATTATTTTAATTCACTTTTTTCGATATTTACAGTCTAAATACATAAATTAATTACCATATTCATTTTTCATGTAAATGATATATTATAAATAATCTTTAACAGATACACAAAAAAAATCATGAAGTTGCTATTTATTTTAAAAATTGAAGTCCGAATGAATTTCATCTTTCATTTTCACTGAAACAAACAACAAAATCAATTGAAATCACCAAACTAGCTATTCCAATCTACATTCAAATTCTGACACTAGCAATTCGATTCTAAATTCAAAATTGGAATCTAGCTAATACATTCCATAATCAAAATTCGAATTTCTATACATTCCAAATTTAAAATTCGAATTCCTATTCCTACAACAACACAAATTCAAAACTAGCTATCCTGTTCCAAATTCAAACTCTGTCCCGTATCCAATATGGCTTCCGCACTAGGTATAACAATCACGTCCCTAACATTATTAGCGCATGCGATATCACAACGACCACTTTTATCGCACGATTCACACGAAATATCAACATTTTCGATTTCAACACTCGCTTTCCTCTCCATATATTTAGCGATATCTATATTGTTTTTAATCTCATAGCTTTTTTTACTCGAACAGAAATCGTTTATTTCCGAACAAATACGTTTAACGTTCTCATCTAAACACGTAGAACATGTCACTTCGTCATCATTATTACTTGATATTCTAACTAATTTCTCTTCATCCCCTAATGTGAATTGCACTTTGTCTATCCGTCCGTCTGTTAATTTTGATATTTCCGAATCTGAATTATGCTGTTTCAGATTTTGATTCGTTTCTAATTTCGATAGTTTCATATTGTATATATTCGATTCGCTTCCCATTATCGATATTGTGGAATCGTTTAATGATGAATCCTGAAAAAAGGATAAAACAATATATTAATATATATATATATATATATATATATATATATATATATATATATATATATATATATATATACTAAAAAAATATTATTTACAAGATATTAATTTATCTGTGATTGAAATAGGAAAAATAGCGTCGGTGAAGAAATAAAAGATTAAATAAGGGTTTAAGCAAACAACGTTTATAAAGCAAAATAAAATAAAATCGTATAAATAAAAATACACAATTAAATACTAACTAAATTTTTAATTTACAGAAAACATTACAAATAAAACTTACTTGATCTTCATGATAACTACCGACGCTTCTAGAATGCTTGTGTCTTTTGGCATTCAAACATTTTTGGGGAGTGTGAGGATCTGAGGATTCCTATGTGCAAAAAATAATATATTACTTTAGAAATCACACTATTATTATAAATACGAAAATTGCGCGTGTATGTATGTTTGTTGATAATGACCGATTCCGTTCACGGCGACCGATTTTACCGAGACTAGCCAAATGCAGATGATATATAGTACAGAGTATAAGACGGAACGAACACGCAACGTTCACACCCTATTCCTTTCAGTATTAGATAAATAATTAATCTATTATATTATACACCCGACCGTCATACTTGGACGACACATTTGGCTCAATTTGTAGTGACCCTACTTGGTGTGCCAGCGGTCACGGGTTCGAGTCTCATTGGGGGCCATCATTTGAGATGGTGTTTATATTTATAATATGTATATATTTAAAGTTATATATGTGTAATGTATCAACTATCTGGAATCCATAGCACAGGCCTCGCAGCTTAACATGTATTCTAGATAGTGTTGTGTGTTAATCTCCCAACATATTTATTTATTTATTTTATACATAATTTTATATGACCGTTGAAAACAACTTTAGAGTTGAAGGCTATAACTGTAACTTGCCACGAGATAGAAGTACAGCGCTTTAACTTCGTTCACTATTAATATTATTTTTTTTTAAAACCCTTGCATTCAGCAGCATTTCAGTTATAATCAAAGGTAAAGGCTTCGGTGGTCTACTAGATAACATGTACAGCTGTAAATCCAGATTTCCTGGGTTCGAGTCCCGGGTCGGACCATCTTCATTTATTGAGTAAAAAAATTCTCAGTATAAGTCCGGAATTAGGAAGTTGGCAGTGTTTCACATCCATGGAGTCAGGAATAGAGTGCACTTGTGTCTGTACTATAATATCTCCTGTAGTTGAATAGTCTCAATGTGATTGGCCGCCATCGCCGAAATCGATCGGTTATTATTACCATACTGAGGTAAATAATAAAAACCCAAATAGGACCTTTTGTATATGAAACCCTAAAAACGTAAATAAAAACCATATAATAAAACATATACATACTTTAAATCTATTGAATTGTCTATATTTCCTTTCCGAAGGCACCAAACTTCTAAGGGACTGCGTTCTAGGACACTCGCTGTCGGAAAGCCATCGGTAAGTTCCAAAAAGCTTTGAGGTGTCTGATCTGTAAAATAATAATTAAGATTTAAAAAAAAAAAAAACTATTGCAACAAACTTTAAAGTTACATTACAGATTGTACGATAAAGACTACATTAGTTAAAAACTGTATTGTAACGAATAAGGCCCACCTCAAGAAAATTTTATATAAATTTACAGGTTCCAATAACTTATATAAAACTAGCGCCTCACCCTCGCTTCGCTCGGGTTCGCCTCTAGAAAAACAAAAACAAATCTATCCCGCGCGAACCGTACATTTTTCCTGCATAAAAATAGTCTATGTGTTATTCCAGACTATAATCTATCTCTGTGGAAAATTTAATCCACATCCGTTCAGCCGTTTTGGCGTGAAAGAGTAACAAACATCTATACATCCATACTTACAAACTTTTACATTTTTAACATTAGTATAGAATAATATTTTGTTTGATATATTTTTTTATCCCGTAATATGATGACATTACATGGCAATGAATCTCCTTTTGTATTCCCGTTCTTTATCTGCACAGGTAATTCAGACAATGAATAAAACACATAAATACTTACAAATTACTTGGTGTAGTTAACAATTTTTGCAAATTAGCTAAAGTTGGTCTCATATCGTGTATGGAGAGTCCTTTGCCCCAAAGCAACTGCGCAATACATTTGTTCAATAAGAACAACGCGTATCGAAACAAAGTTATATCGCCTCCTCGTGCGAATAGCGGGATACTGAAATAAAATAATATCAAGTTAAATTTAAAAATAGTTAACGACACGTTTGGCTCAGTTTGTAGTGATCCTAGTTTCTGTGCCAGCGGGTTCGATACCCGCTTGGGGCATTCATTTGTGTGTGATGAGCTCGAATGTTTGTACTCCAGTCATGCGTGTTTATGTTTATAATATGTATGTATTTAAAGTTATATATGTATATATGTATAGTGTATCGACTATCTGGTATCCATAACACAAGCCTCGTAGCTAACTATGGAGCTAGATGGTGTGGTGTGTCAATGTCCCAACATATAAAAAAATTACCAAGATTAGTGGGTTCAATTTGAAAATGAATTATAAAACGTACTGAAAAACGAAAACAAATCTATCTTACGGGAACCGTACATTTTTCCGTGATAAAAAATAGCCTATGTACTATTCCAGACTATAATCTATCTCTGTGCAAAATTTCATCCAGATCCGTTCAGCCGTTCTGGCGTGATTGAGTAACAAACATCCTTCCAAACTTTCGCATTTATAATATTAATGGGATGAAATATTGGTATATTAATCGAATCAATAAATGAAGAACAATACTAAATTTTTAGTTAGTTTGGTGAGAAAAACATACATCAAATTTTTACCGCCTATTTTAACCGACTTAAAAAGGAGGGAATTTTCCTTGGAATTTTACTAAAATGTAATAGCTAATTTTCATAATTGAATATGTAATTGTAAATCAATTTTTACAATTGTCTTCTCTCTTTTCATGTATTTTTTTAAACATGTAGATAAAATATGTTTAATGTAACGTCTTTTATTTACTTCCTTTTTTTATTGGTTTCAAAAACATAATACCGATTCAATAACCACTTACTTAGGATCTGGCAAATCCGGTGTTATATCTAATATCTTGCTTGCCGAACCTAATAAAGTTATCTTGTATCTTAGGGGTTGATTCAAAATGGCCGCCGTGAGGGAAGTTGCTTGTGCTACGAAGCCCGATGCTACGGCATCTGGTACCGGGTTCGATGCTCGGGGGTTGTCATCCCCACAGATGGGGAGTGGCACGTCGATTATTGTCCATGTCGTTGCGTCTTTCTGTTGAGAAATTGGTAAAATTAGTATTGAATTAGTCTAGTGTTAGAACGACTCATGCTTACCCGATTTTCTCTACCTATAGGTCACTTATCTATTAGTTTTTTTTAAGTTTCCAATTTAAATAATATTACGGACAAGTGCGAGTCGGACTCCCCCACCGAGGGTTTCGTACAAATTTGTAGGAAATCTGTTTAACTTAAATTTTCAACTTTGTTTATTTTTTGAAATTTTTCCTTTATTTGTGCTGTAAGACCTTGTTTGTTGCCAAATATCATGTCAATATGGTCACGGGAGAGAGTCAGATGGAATCAGTCTCTCCTGTGACCATGACTGCTGTAAAGCATTCGAAACGCGGTGAAAAGTGATAGTTTTATTTAAAATGTCAAATATTCGCGTAAATCTAAAGTATTATAGACATATGAACATGCATTATAGATATAATAAACTAATTCAAAACCAACCTGTTGTATATAAAATATCTTATGCAATTGTAGCAACATATCACTCCTGTAGCTCGCGAGAGCGGCGTGGGACCTCGCTGCTAACTCCCTTAGCGCGTAACACGACTCTCTCGTCTCCTTCAGAGCTTCTGTACGACGCGAGAGTGTGTGATAGTTCTGCATTAACTCTGTACCTGTAAGATGCGACCCTAAAGTGAAGTGTGAAAAATCTAGTGATATGCGCGTATTCTTGAAAATCATAATTTATAGAATAGAGGATATGCGTGTGATTTAAATAGACGTGAAATATTTTTTTTAATGATTTTATTGCTTCTGAATTAATATTAATAATATTTTATATTAATATTTTTTAATATTTTTTATATTTAAATTTTTTATATTTTTAATTTTTTATATTTTTATAATATTTTTTATTTTTTAATTTTATAATAATTTTGGTGGGAAATTCAAAGTAGTTGAAACCCAATGCCATTGGTCAGATCGAATGTTACGTCGGTATATTATAATAGATCGCTGTTGTTTGGTGTTTGCGATTGGTACCAACAATCAAGACCTGTTCATGGTCCGCCAATCCGCACTCGACCAGCGTGGTGGGCTATAGCCTGATCCCTTGTATTGAAGGAAGGCCCGTGCCCAGCAGTGCGACGTTAAAAAGGGCTGAATACAAGCTATTGTATAAAAAATTAAAAAAAAATCACGCATGTTCCTTATTTCAACAAGATTGACTCGAATTTGACCCGAGAGTTCCGGTACCAAAAATAATTAATTTTAGAAAAGTCCAGGGAATTATATACAAGAGACTATGAACAAATATAAACAAACCAACAAAAGCTCTTTATAAATATTTTTAATATTAGTGTGTAAATAAATAATTTATAAAATCTGGTTAGAACAACCATTTTTTTTTTCACTTCATTAATTTCCAAAGACGTGCGTCACTTCTTTCTAATATACATTTCATTTGATTGCACATACAATGGGAAATAATATATAAAATTGATAAAAAGAAAAGCAATAACAAAAGCTAAAGAAATACTTACCGATATCCTGATTTTCTTCAAATAACTTAGCATACCTCTCTTTCAGTCTTCTTATATTTGCTAATTTGCTGTCTCTCTCATCAGAGAGTATCAATCTCTTAAAATGTAATATTTCTAATTGTTTCGTAAGTCTCACATGCTCTGCCCTTTGAAAAGGAGAAGGCTTAGACTGAAAAGTATAGTAATTTAATATTAATTTAAAAAATATCTTAATTTAGATTTCTTTAATATAATTAATTTACAGCTAATATAACTTCAAAATAAATATTGACAATCTTAATTTGATGACACTGCAGTATTCAATACCCGAATATAGTAATAGAATGTATATTAATTTATTAGATTTTTTTTGATTTCTTTACATATAGGTATACCATACCTTAAATTACTTATCTGTCTTTATTCAATTCTTTTGTTAATAAGATTTTGACGGACAGATAAACAAAATTGAAGTGTCTGTTTGTAATGTCAAAATAACAGCTTTTAACTAAGTATATATAAAAGTATATATGATACTTATAAGAAACTAAATCTATTTTTAAAATTTTTGTCCGTCTGTCTATTTGTTCTGGCTAATCTGCAAAGCAGCTGGACTGATTTTGACGGGACTTTCACTCGCAGATAGCCGATATTTTAAGGAGTTACTTAAGCTATATTATTTAAGAATAGGAACTAAGATTTGCACGAAAAAAGTAAACCCCATTAAATTGTGAACAAAATCCTCGTACCTAGGGACGTCGAATTTGACATAATTCGTATAGACATTTCACATTAATTTTCTATCCCTAGCAACGAAAACCACAAATATGTATACAAGATTATTATTATTTGCGCTATTAAAATATTAAAGAAATCGTCCACATTTTAAGAATTACCTTGTAAGATAGGAGATCATTTAACTTCAAAGTTAGCCGAGGACCGTTCGATATCGGAGTTTTGTCCTCTCTAACTTTCCCATTTTTAACATTCAAATCGCTTTGGGACGACGATTTTTCTTTGTTCAACGCTTCGTTTTCTTCCGGCGAAAACAAATTCCTATGCGATTTGCTCTTGACCTTCAATTTCAATTCGGAATCTTGAGAAAAATTATCAGTCAGCGCGGACTTTTTGTAAATCCTCTCCTTAATTTCTTGCACAGCCTCTTGTTTTTTTTTAATGGAGTATTGCAATAAGTGTAAGTTCTGTAACTTAGTTGCGTTATAGCTTGGCCTTATTTCAGATTTTAGAAAGTTAAGCGCCGAATACCTGTATTTTGGCACACCATCGGATTCGTTACGTAAATCATAATTTTCCGCTGTTTCACTCAAATCTACTTTATTGCATAGCACCTCTTGGGACGCTGATATATCACAGTTTAAATCACTGGTAGTGAATTCTCTAACATCTATATTATCGGGTGAATATTCATATATGTGGTTAGGATCAACTTTCTTCCTTTCAACACTATCATCCCGCCTATCTCTGTGGTTTAAGTTCGAACTTGACGATGATTTTAGAGTAGGGAAGTTTTGTTTGAAACCTCTTTCTATAGGACTGTGGCTTTTAGAATATTCATTCTCGGACTTTTTGGAAAACTTTCCAGGTGATATTGATCTAGATTCTTTTATCAATTTTTTGGTGTGTAATGCTCTGACACAATCTAAAGTTATTTTGGACACGTTTGTTTTACCCGAAGAGTCTGAAGACAGTGATCCCTGTTCTAACTCACTTTCCGGCGGGATAACGTCTAATTTTAAACTTTTATAAGAACAAAAATAACCCCCGTGCATTTGGAAAACCAATGTGTTGCTTTTAAAGCAATCTGAGGTAAAATTTAAAGCTAAATTAGCCCCTATATATCTGAGTCCACTAAAATATACACCCCATGTTTCAATAACAGTATCCTGCATCTGTTCCGATTTCTCATCATCTTCTTTAGAAGTCGGTAAAAGAACGTGACACCATATCCGTATCACTACATTAGTAGAGGACATGCGTTGAGTAACTTCTGAAACACAAAACAATTAAACTGAAAACGTTAAAAAATTAAACTAATAACGTCACTGGGATGTCCATTTGTGCAAATTAAGATAAAAATACTCACACCAACTAAATAGGCTAGAAAACAAATAAATAAATGTAGCATTGACTTTTCCTTATTTGAATAAATTAGACTTTATAATTAAGGAAATATGGTTTAAAATACAATAACATTTACATCGTATGCTCTTTTGTTCATATGGACCATGAAGGTCGCTTTATAAACTAGAATGGGTTTGATCTATACTAAATGATTCATTTATTACTGATAACAAATTTACGTTTTACACAATATAGGCCAAATGTCGTGTTTTGAGCGATAAGCTTTTATAATCGATTTAGTTTCAATGATCGATTTACTCGAATATTAATAATAGTACTCATCCAACTGTGACTTGACCTGTATTCTTATTTAAACCTTATTATCATATTCTTGTCTATACATATTATAATAAAATTCTAACTGAGTCGAATCTGTACATTAAACATTATTTGAAAAATCTTATTGAAATAGTCAATATTATTGATACAGAGGCCGAATCTATAGTTTTTAGATTTTTTGTCTGTCTGTCTGTGACCGTATCACGAGAAAACCACAGGATAGATTTTGATGAAATTTGGTATGATAATGGCTGGTTATGCGGGTCAACATATAGGATACTTTTTACTTCGGAAACATCTCAACTCTGAGAAATCTATACTAAACGTTAAAATGTAACTAGGGACGAATCCGAGGAGCGGAGCGGTAGTGAGTCGCTAGTATAATTTTTTTTTTTATTATTATTATTTTTTGTTAAAAAAAATATTTCTTTATTCGACGATATACTATATCCCAGACATATAATAATGAAGTAGCATTTATTAAGATTCCACTAAAATCTTATTTTGAAATAAAAATTTAACATTATAATATTTTTAGCATTATGATACATTGACCTTTGCAATTATTAAAACAGCCAGCTTTATAATATTTAAATTAATGTCTGTTTTATTTTAATAATGCAATTAATGCATTTATTTTATTTATTCCTTTTATTTTTAATAGGTAGCTACTTATTACTTTTGAATTTTGATACGTTTTACAAAAACAAATATAATAATTAACTAATCTTACGCCGTTATTTCGTGTGTCGCCTGCCTTTAAAAATCCGTATTTATTTTTAACAATAAGAAAAGTAATAACCGCTTAAAACATTTCAGAATAAAATATGAAATACAGAGGCAGATCATACAAAACTGTTTTTGGTTGACCTTGTGGTTATTACCATTATTATTATTAGGTATTCCTAAAAATATTGAATTTAGTATGTGGAAGGTTGCATTTTTATGTATGAAAATTTTAATGAGAAATCCATACTAATATTATAAATGTGAAATTGTGTTTGTTTGTCCTTCTTTCACTTCGAAACGGAGTAACTGATTGGCGTGATTTTTTGTGTGGAAATAGTTGGAGGGCTGGAGAGTGAGTACTTTTTACCTCGGGTGATTATCTTATTCCCACGGGAATACATGTTATAATACAATCCAAAAAAATCTGCTCTCCGAGCTGGTGGTAGCTTCCACACGGACAGCCGTACTGACGATTTTAAAAGAATTAAGTTGATTTTCCAAAACTACTGAATATAAGAACGCAAGGAATATCTCCAAGTTTACTTAGTGTCATCCTACATATGTTATAAACATAATTTACAGTTCTAAATAACAAGTTTGTAAAAACTTGCTTTTAGAGTTGGAGTGGCAAAAATATATTTATGCGGCCGTCTGAAAACCTTCATGCACGAATTCGAGTCACACTTGGCTAGTTTTTTTTATATTTACATTCATTGATCAAAAAAGTATGAGATACACAATTCCATGCAAAAGTTCTCTTAAAACTGTCACCAATTGTGTTTAGGTAATTACTAATTATTCTAGTTGAAATAAATATACAACAATGGAATTTGAACCTTAAAAACGAGGCTTAAAGTTGTTTTCACAAAAAAAAATTAAAAGCGCGCTAAAATGTTCAAATGAGCGCTCATTCAGTGAGAGCATTTTTTGTCGCTGATTGTGTGTATCTAATACTTTTTTGATAGATTTTGTTTACATTAATTAAAAATTTCATATATTAATTAAATTACATAATGCTTTTTTACTATTACGCACAAATATTTATTTATGGAATTTTAACATTTCCCATATAACTACAACTTATTAACATATAATATGTCTAACACGAACTTAAAAAAATAATCTAGTCTCACTCGAAATAGTCTAGGCATGGTTATATTGCAGATATTTGTGATAATAATAAAGATTTACCAGAATCAATCTCTTTCCACTTAGGGTGTGGCGAACTAATCCTCTCGCTTGTATAGAAAGGTGCCGACATCGTTGTATGGTGGAGTGTCAGGTAGTAGCTGCACTGGTGTGTGCACCACTCTGGCGGTCTTATGTTGTAGCCCACGATCTGAAAAAGAACATTATTGACATAAAATCTGACTAATTATATTGTAATGCAGGCGCGGACCGTGATTAGGCCTCCTTTTCACCTTTTTTTTTTAATGTTGCATTTATGCATACCACCTGCATGCACATACAGGTGGTTATGTGGGACTCACCGGCTAGAGAAGCCAGTACTACCCACTGTTTTCTACTACCGAGTTTTCCCATTAGAAAAACCCAGTAAATATAGCTAAATACAGTACTTACTATAAAACAAAACTGGCATTCAAAATGTATAATCTTAAGTTTTTACATAATTTTTAGTTTATATAGTAAAACTTTTACTAGTACACATTTTCATAGTTTCCATAATACAATCTACCTGTAGTATTAACACAAAACCTATACTCTATATTAATATTATAAATGTTATGGTTTAAATGTTTGTATGTTTGTTACTAAATCACACCAGATTGGCTGAACAGATCTGGATGACATTTGGCACAGAGATAGATTATAGTCTGGAATAGCACATAGGCTACTTTTTATCCTGGAAAAATGTACAGTTTCCGTGGGATAGATTTGTTTTTATTTTTCTAAAGGTGAACCCAAGCAAAGCGAGGGTGAGCTGCAAGTATTATAAATAATACCCTGTATGATGAAAAAGCACAATTAATTCCTGATAGTAATGGACTAAAGTTATTTAATAAAGTGATTGCTTAATATCATATTAAATATCTTGCTGCATAAAAAGGATAATATGATTATAACCACAACAAAACTTTCTTAATTGGTAAAAATATGAATAATTTATATGCTCAAATATAATACAAAATAAAACAAATTTTTATCTTATAATATAATCCAAGCCTATTATGAAGTAGACAAAACTGTGACACAAACTGCACTACAACATAATGGTTATATAGTTAGAGAAAAATAATAATTGTACATTACACAATATTTCTTTTAGCACATGTAGTTAATAGTCAAGAATGTGATTTTTTTAGAATTACTTCAATGTTCAGAGTTTTAAGGGAAGGGAGAGTTGAAAGGGGAACCTCAAATAAACAAACATTTTTGCATTACTATAATTGGGCAACATTACAAACAATTCTTTATCTGTATTACTTACTTAATTAGTTATTAATTCATAAAAATGATAATATACATAGCAAAACAATAAACAAATTTACTCTATCATTAACTAGCACTATGCCCCTGCTTCACCTTTTTTTATAAATAAATTAGCGTCTCACCCTCGCTTCTCTTGGATTTGCCTCGAGGAAAACAAAAACCAAACTATCCCATGGGAACAATACATTTTTCCAGTATAAAAAGTATGTCTATGTGTTATTCCAGACAATAATCCATCTCTGTGCCAAATTTCATCCAGATCCATTCAGCCATTCTGGCTTGAAAAGGTAACAAACAAACATCCATACTCACAAACTTTCACATTTATAATATTAGTGTAGATGAAAAATTATAACTAAGTGCCCAAAAACAAGGTTTAAAAAAAAAATTGGCACCCATTTAAAAACAGTTTTGTTGAAATTAACTATCTCATTCAGTAATATATCTATAATAAGCTTTGAACATGTACTACACATTTGCATCATTATATATAAAGTAATAGCATAGCATAATATAAAATGTTACAATTTTCTTGAGATATCATTAAATGCAATCTGTAAGAACATTTTTTATCAATACTTACACCATAACTTTATCTGATAGACCTAGTTTCTAAAGTACCTTAGTAGAAGTAAAGCAATAAATAAAAATTGGATTTTTATGTAATCAGATCTAGTGATGTTTTTTCTCTCTTTTACCAGTCATTCTTAATAGTATGTGTTTTCTCCATTCTATGCGACATTGACAAAGTAAATTGTGCCCAACTGGCACTCCTGGAAGGCACTATAAAATATATATATAAAAGAATTCAATTGATTTTCATTTTAGTTCTATAGTATTTGTCAATTTTAAGGAATATACTTTCAATACATGGACATACATCATTTTATAAATGCTATAGTAACTCATGGAATTGAAATATACAATTGTTAAAAGAAATATTTTATAAATAATTTAATTGTGCAGTTCTTATCTGCATATTTGTTACAGGGAATAAAAAGACAAAGAATAAATTATATAGAAAAATATTTCAATGTATACTACTACAAAGTAGGACATTGATGTATATTCAATAGTTACTTGAAGAACATAATTGTACATTGTCATATAAATGATATACTGTTAACATATGATTGCGTGGTTACCTTAAAAATTACCTAGAAATCTTTTGAGACAGAAGATAAACTTGAATATGACGTATGACACCTGAGTGTAGGCGTTTGTTAGTAAATTCTTACGAAGCATTTTTTATATAAACTATAATTGATGAATCTTAACAATAATAATTTTACCTGAATTAAGCTGCGGAGACGCAATTGTTGAGTTGTTAAAGGTGTCCACTCTCTGCATCTTGGTCTTCCAAACATTATAAGATATAAACACTAAACACTAATTATAACTTTAAAACTGAAAAGAAAAAAAAGCGTGTATCTTAAAATATAACATCAAACTTTCAAAGCATTGGTTTCTAACTATGTGCCAATAAAATTTATTTTCAAAATAATAAATAAATAAAGATGCATTGTTCAGCTGACTGCAACTTCACTTTTGAGATTTCAGATTTGTCAAACAAATTGCTCGATGATTTATAAAAAAATGTTGCCATATCTATTCCATTTTCATTTTCTACCATATGTTACAAAGCCTTATTTACGATGGTAGAAAATGGGGAACATTTCTTAAAAGGAGGGCGCCATACGTATGGCCTATTTTCATTCAGTTTGAGGTTAAGCAATTTATTGTGATATCTCTTTAATTCCTAGTTTTTTGCTTCTATTGTGTTAACATATTACCTGTGCAATATGTATTGTACCTGAAAGTTGACGAGCTGAAGGAAAAATTGAGAAGGAGAAGTGGTCCTCAATGACTGATGGATCAACACACAGCCTAAGCCGCTGGTCATAGAAACGTAAAATTTGGAGGACGTATTCCTTATATGATGTATATGAGATATTCAATAAGAATGGATTTTTTGGAATTCATCCTCTAAGTGGGTAAAATAGGAGATTAAAGATTGTATAAAATTCTGTCATTTTTAATGTGAAAAACTCAGAAAGTGGTGCTTAGCTTTAAAATAAAAAATAAGAAATATATTTATTTGATTTTTTTAAATTCATCCCCTTAAAGGGGTAAAGGGGGTAATAAAGTTTACATGAGCAAAGAATTATTTATGATCAATAGTACTTGAAACTTGGTATTAATGCCATTCAATACAATTAAATAATAAAAATAATGTTTTAGCATTTTTCGAAATTCAACCCTATAAGGGGGTAAAATTTTTTTTTTGCATTCTGGCTCTGCACAATTTATTTTAATTAAATTTTAAATAAATTGAAAAAATCCATCCATCCACGCTATAGAGCTTTACAATATATTGAGGGCTATAGTAATTGCGACATCTGGCGGGAAAAAAGGCAAAATTCTTTCCCATAAAGATATAAATATTATCATGTAATATTTGAAATTTCTATCATCCTGGTCCATATTTGTATTATTTATAATTAATAAAAAGTCATTATCTTTTTTAATAATTAGGTAAGAGTAAAAATAGCCATACTCGCAATGTATAAACGAACACAAAATATTTGGCCTTGACAATGCTGTTCAAAAATATCAACCATGAACTTTTTTTATATGCATCGTAATCGAACCTGTTGATTATATAGAGCTTAAAAGGGCGTTCATACATCTAACGAATTATACTTTATATAATCTATTAATATCGCTAAGCGAACAAATCATAAAAGACCAACCTACCTAATTAAAATTGATCATAAAAGTTACCTACTCTATCAATCAATTTCTCTAGTTCAATCATGAACAACGAGATTTTAATTATTATACTTTTATGTGTCTACAAAATAGAATGCCAGGTAAGTATTACTTTAGCTTTTGTTATTTTAATGAAAAATAAGAACATTATAGAAGTTACTTAAAATATTATTTTAAATATCTTGGAGCATTATTTTCACCTTAATTTCTCAGCAAATAGAGACAAAGATTGATGAAGAATCCCAAGACGAAGAAGCAGAAGAACGCTTAGAAGCAGAAGATCTTCAAAAAGCAGAAGAAGATCAAGAAGCAGAAGAATATGAAAATAGAGCAGATGATAAGGTATTTATATTTATAAGACATAATATACATTGAGATGTAAAAATAATATAAATTGATTAATATATAATAATAAAAAAGCATTAACATATGTTTAAACATATGTGACAAACCGACTGGTAAAGATGAAATATGTCGTCGTCGTGTCAGCCCAAACACGTCCACTGCTGGACATAGGCCTCCCCCAAAGATATCAACGATAACCGGTCTTGCGCCATCCGCATCCAGTGGGCTCCAGCGACTCTGACCAAGTCGTTGGTCCCCCTTATGGGAAGCATGCCCACGCTTCGCTTTCCGGTACGTAGCCGCCACTCGAGAACTTTGCGGACCCAACGACCGTCCGTTCAAAACATATATATTACCTAAATTCTAGAACTGTCGGTAATAGCGGATCCAGGGGGGCTAAGAGGCTCCAGACCTATCCCCCCAACCCCCAAACCATCTGAAACGCACGACAAATATCAAATTAAACTTAATGACAATCTTGGTAATAATATCAAGGCATTATAATGCTAACAAAGTACATAAGTACAATAAATCTTTCAAAGTGCTTATTAGGGTTAAGGTGAAAATATTTTTTTAATATTTAAATACGTCTTGTAATATCAAAAGTTTTAGTGTCAAAGTGTTTATTTCAATGTTGGGAAAATTTACGGAAACCAGCTACGTACGTAAGTATATGTGGTAATGTGGGACTCACTGACTAGAAAAGCGAGTACTATCCACTGAAACCCAACGGAACCTTCCCCGTCTTAATGGAGCGTCGCAGGATCGCTTACGCACTTAACCATGGCGGCCCGACGGCAGGTCTGCCGAAGCAGACCACAACAACCATGGGTTTACCTCCACTCAGCTTTCAGAGAATAACTTGGAGCAACCCGCATAGGACACCGTCTACCGAAGTGGGCCACCTCCCAATGTATCTCTTGGCTTTACGACCCGCTGGGTTGCCGGACGCCAAACAGCACGCTCGGGGACGGGCCCTAACATGACAAGATGAACATACATCGGCGAGGACAACGTCTGCCTGCAGTACCCTCTAGAATTCAATAAATAAAGATTGAAACTAATACTTTATAGGTCGAAGAACCAGAACAACTAATCGAGGAAAAGGAATCAAATGAAAGCGATGAAGAACAGGTAGATATTATTTTCTTGTATTGTATAGTAATTATACTACAGTAAAGTTGCTAAAAGCCACAAAACAAAGAGCACTAGGTAGGTACGTTCTAGGCATGGCAATTGTGTGAGATGAGATGGAAACGGTTTAATGGTTGACGGGCATAACTGTAACTTGTCACAAGAAAGCACCCCTGCATTTGGCAGGATTTCAGTTAAATTAAAGACTACTGTATGGATTTTTACCCGACTGCGCGACGCAGAGAAGGGTAATGTATATGTGTGAGTTTGTACCTTTGTGGCACTATTTAGACCGAATGCGTGGGCCGAATTCGATAAATGACACGTCGTTTGATTCATCATGACGGCGCGAATGTGATAAAAAGGCAAAAGCATAAAAATTTGGAAAATCAAAATGGCCTATTTTGGGCGCTATAATGTGTAAAAGAAAAAATGAAATTCGACAAACTAGGTCAAGTGGGGTATCGTTGAATAGGTATTTAAAAATATTTTTTAGATTCTTTTCATCATTTTTCATTTTAAATAACACTTTAGGATATACTTAAAAATACTTAAAAAGCTGAAAATAAATATACTTATTGTTACGTGCCGCTAGTTTATTCGAAGACATCAAGTAAGTATATCTACTCTGCTATGCTGAAAATCAGCTGAAAATCTCAACAGTGGTCCAAAACATTGTTTGTAGTCTAATTACGATCGTTTTTTTCTTATGCATAATAAATTAAAAAAAGATTACTACAAATTGAGAACCTCCTCTTTTTGGAAGTCGGTTAATAAAAAGTCGTAAGTACTTCCTTAAAGAGACAAAATAATGTGAAGTGACTAAATTCTAAAGACTGTTGACTAGTAATTTATAATAATATTACAAAGAGGTAAAGTTTGTGAGTTTGTGACGTTGTAACGGTTAATCCCTGGATCTACGGAACCGATTTAGATGAAATTTGGTAAGAAGATAGCTTGAGACCCTGGGAAGGACATAGGATACTTTTTATCTCGGAAACCATCCCTTAAGGCGGAGAAAATGGGGATGAAAGTTTGTATTGGGAAGCAAGCTCCCTAGCGAGGGTGAGTCGCTAGTATTAAATAAGTGGAGATTTCTTAACTAGTAACTACTTTCTAGGTCCAAGATTATAAAGAATTGATTAAAGAAAAAGAAATGAAACATAAGGTAGCTCTTTCAACATTTCATATTAGTATTTAGTACCTACTTATAAGTACATAGGTACATATGTTAAGGTTGCTAAATGTTACAAAAAGTTTTTATCCTACTTAGAGAGATAGGTTGCCGTATCTATACTAATATTAAGTATAAAGAGGGTTTGTTTGTTTGTTTGAACGCGCTAATCTCAGGAACTACTAATCCGATTTGAATAAAAAATATTTTTGCATTAGATAGCCCGTTTATTAAGGAAGGCTATTGGATATAAATCATCCAAATCAAATTTACGGTTCCCGTGGGATAGATTTGTTTTTGTGTAGGTACGAACCCGAAGCGAAGTGAGGGTGAGTCGCTAGTACCTGTTATTATGCTACGATTAAGTACTTAGTTTTTGTATATCAATGGCTACGACTGTAAATAAAATAGTAAATATATAAGTGACTTGAGTTGTGGGCAAAAATTAGTACCTAACTAAATATTAAATGGTATAAAGTAATGGAAGACGGAAAATCTCAATGTTGACTATAAAGGCGTTATATATTGAGTAAAACTTTTTGAATATACCTAATTTCTTCTATGTCTATGCAATAACAATTAACTGTATTGATTGAAGTTGGAAGACAATGCACCGCTCGAAGAAAATGAAGAAAACTTTCCGAAAGAAGAAATGGTAAGATTAATAAGAATCATTGCTTGAATGTCAGATTAAAAATTGTTAACCTCAGCAAGATACATATCTACTCACTCAAAAATAATTAAATTACAAAAATAAAATCCAAGTACGTAAAAAGCAAACTAAAAAATTAGAACAAGGTAATGAAGGAACATAGTATATTTTTATTAAATAAAATTTATTTTGACTTTTAATGATATTTACATATAAATACTAGAGTAGGGAGAGTAGTGTGAGTACACTCGCGTTATAAAGACGAATCTAACAACGTAGGTATAAATCATCAAAATTGGTTAAGCCGTTTAGTAATTATGAGGGAGCATAGGGTTGGACATACATAGGTAGGTACATACCTACATATGAACATACAGGTCAAACACATAACCTTCTTTAAACTTCGCCGCAGTTGGATATAAAGTAGCCTGATTAATAACTTGATTTATATGGATTATTTTTGGTGGTACCTACCCGATGAGCACTGAACAGTGAACAGTCATGGCACAAACTACTATATTTATTTTACGGGATATAGGATCCTTTTTTACATTTTGGTTTTTAATATTTGTTCACTATAATAATCATTTGTAAAATTACTATGGCTATGGTTTAAGTGATAACACCGCCCTTAAATGAAGTCCTTCAAACCTTACCAAAAATCCTTTTTAGGAAATAGAACAACAAAAGGAAAAAGAAGCTGGTGATCCAGCAGACCTTTTTGGGACAAATCAACATTACAATATTCCTGCAAACTTTGACGATTTTGGAAGACGTTTTATCTGGGCTTATCCTTATAACGTGGTAATATCTTTATATATATAATTCTTCTGTGAGTGTGTATGTCACTGAACTTCTCTCAAACGACTGGACCGATTTTGATGATTTTTTTTGTGTGTGTTCAAGAGGATCTGGGAATGGTTTAGATTCACAATTTGAATAATAATTTTCATCAAAAAAAAAAATTATTAAAAAAAGTTTGAAATTTTCAAATTAAAGAAGTGTAGACAGGACAACGTCTGTCGGGTCCGCTAGTAGTAAATAAAATTCACGTTCAATGTCAAGTTCCTTATTTCTTGTCAACTGTCTCTTTATTTGGAATTTTTAGAAAAACCAACATGGCACGGTCGACGCAGCTGAATTAAAATTGGACAGAGATGTGGAGGTAAAATTATGTTGGATCATTGGATAAAGTCGTACATTTTACCTGATATGTATGTAGGTAGTTATGACATTCTCGTGCTAATTTTTTTTTACAAAGCTACGACATTAAATTTTATAAATATGTTGGTAAGTACATTAACGCACAGCACCATCTAGTACCATAGTGAGCTACGAGGCTTGTGTTATGGATACCAGATAGTTGATACACTACCCATATATAACTTTAAATACATACACATAATTTATAAACATAAACACCCATGACTGGAGTACAATTTAACATTCGTGCTTATCACACAAATGAATGCCCCCAGCGGGACTCGAACCTGCGACCGCTGGCACAGCAACACAAACTGAGCCAAGCGTGTCGTCAAATTGATTTATGCTTGTATTGGATTTGATTTGATTGAGATAAAAACATGATGTTGAGTGTCTAAAAGTACCTATATGCATATTCTATGCACTTATTAAATCCGCAACTTACAACCTTTGTCAAATGAAGCACTTTATGATATTTCAAAGATCAACGGTTCTCTAATAATTTTTGTTTATTTCCGAATATGTGATTAACTTTCATAGACACAAACATCAGTACACCTATACGTAACTAACCTGCTTTTAAAATTCGATCCTAATTTCTCTTAAATAATTTACTATCATTTTCTAGGATTACCTGGAAGCTAAGAAAGAATCTGCTAAACTCTTAACTCCTGTAAAGGTAACGTTTAAAAATAATTAGGTTTACGTGCTGCGCTGGCGACTCAGTAACTTGAAGTAGGTAGTAGATACTCGTATAACTGCCTCGGTGGTGTAGTGGCTAGCATGTACGGCTACATACCCGGAGGTCCTGGGTTCGAGGCCCGGGTCGGGACAAGTTTAGTTATTGAGTCTTTCTGTATAGTAAGCCTCAGTAACAGCCCGGAGTTGGGAAGTTGGCGGTGTTTCAACCCCGTGCCTCACTCACACTCAAAGCTGTCGGTCCTGCGCCTTAACTCTCACCTGTCGTGTCGAGTAGTCGTCCCACCGGAGTATGAGAGTGACAGGAATAGAGAGTGCACTTGTGTCTGCGCGTACACTTGTGCACTATAATATCTCCTGCGCAGTTGGCTAGTCTCAATGAGATTGGCCGCCGTGGCCGGAATCGGTCAGGAGAACATCATCATCATACTCGTATACCCACAAAAAATGTGTATGGGATATAGGTACATATAAAGTGGATAAATCACTATTTGGCTTTTAACCTATCTGAAAAAATCACGTAAGAACTTCGTACTGCGTTATTTAATGAAAATAACCAAACACACTTTTGTTTTTATAATGTTGATATTATTAGCCTATTGATTGCTTGTACTAATAAGAGTATAATTTCTTTATAGGCACCACCTGCATTTGTTCTTTCAATAGCAAAACAATCAGCTCTTTTAGAAGGAACAAAACCTAAGAATCCTAGTGAAGACATCATAACTAGGAATATCTTGAGAACCGGAGTAAGAACTTTACCTACGATCTATTGTTTTTTCCTTGGTTTCTATCTTTTCCTTCACATTCATGAACATGATCTTTATGTTAAAGGTGAGTTGACAGTTGGTCTGTTGATCATTGCCGGTAACTTTAGCCAATAAACTCCCTATTTAGTTTTGTGTGTAGGTAATGATTAATTTTTTTTTATATACTTAAGTCTTTAAGCCTTATCCATATACACAAAGTTCGAAAAAACAAAATAAAATAGCCGTAGTTAGAGTGCCACAAAAATTCTATCCAATTTTTGACGCACCAGGTCATTTGACTTTATCAACGCCAAAGTTTCGTGATTTCGGGAAATTATTCAAGATGGTACACACCTAGAGAATGACTTGTAGCTTCTAGGGTCTTTTAATTTTGCTTATTAGCATTTGTAATTTATTCTGGTATTTTGTATATAAAAGTTTAAAAAACAAAAAAGAAAACGGAATAGTCCCGATAAGATTCTTTTAGCACTTCCTCTCAGGACTGAGGCATTTTTTGAACTGCTGGTAAATTTTTTGGCAGACAATATGTGTATTTCTAAAATAAAAATATTAAATAAATATTAAACTATTTTAAATTTTATTAGGATTTCTGGGACAGCGTATGGAAAGAAGACGTTGATGTCGACCGGATATTACGAACGTCAAACAAGAAGTCTGATGAGCTGGTAAGTAAGAAAACAACGTGAGTAGGTACTTATGAACGCACGTAAGAACTAAGAAGTTATTCTATGGCGTAACAGAACAAAAATACCTAAAAATTTCATCCCTTAAAAACGTCCCAAAAGAAGTATAACTTCAATAATATTTTGCATTAATTTCATTATGCCGGTCGTCGAACAATGTAATAAGTTTTTAAAGTGTCACCGTCCAATCTCCAATGTAAGTCCACCAATCAACATGATATTAGAGAAATAATTTGTGCTCAAATAGAGCGCATTGAAGCCATTAAACAAAGAATTAAAAACTATCTTTGAAAATATTCAATCGATTTTATTAAAGTCAAACTTGTTTAATGCCATAAATATAAGATTTAAAATAAAATATATATTACACTCGAGACTCACCCTCGCGTCGCTCGGGTTCGTCCCTACTTACGTTTTAACATTTAGTATTGATTTCTCAGAGATAAGATATTTTCCCGCTGTAACAAGTATCCTATATGTTGACCTGGATAACCTGATATCATCATGATCATACAAAATTTCATCAAAATCCCTCCAGTAGTTTTTCCGTGGTGCGGTAACAGACAGACAGACAGACAAAAATTCTAAAAACTATAGATTCGGCTTTGTATCGATAATAATGTCTATTTCAATAAGATTTTCCAAAAAATATTTAATGTACAGATTCGGCTTTGTAACAATTTTATTATATGTATAGATGTTAATCCAGTCTCGATGCGTTTTTTTATTTGCCATTTTAATATAGTTTTATTTAAAAAAAAAGTTTTATACAAAATTTTAAAATATGTATTTAACTTGAATTGTGCAATTAGTTTTTATATCGTTCATAAATAATTATTTTCAGGAACGTGTGACGGTGAAGATTGATCCTGGATCGAAATTATATGAACTTATATCAAAGCTTAAGAAAATATCGCCAACATTAATTTATGTTATAAATAAAAATAATAATAATTAATGTATAATAGTCTGTCTATCATATTATATCATACCTACATCCTTTTAAAGTCTATTTATATACCATGTTTTTATTTTAAAATGGCGACAAACAGATTTACCCAGTTCACGTTTTTCGTATATTTTCGTATTTCGTATATTATAATATGTTGTTAGAACATTAACACACAGCACCATCTAGTTCCATTGTAAGCTACGAGGCTTGTGTTATGGATACCAGATAGTTGATACACTACACATATATAACTTTAAATATATAAATATAAATTATAAATATAAACACCCATGTCTGGAGTATAAACATTCGTGCTCATCACACAAATGAATGCCCCCAGCGGACTCGTACCCGCGACCGATGGCACAGCAAATAGGGACTAAGGTCACTGCAAACTGAGCTAATTTTGTCGTCGTTTATTAAAAACAAGTACTGAAATAATCTCGAATAACTAAAGAAAAAACGTGTGTGTACTTATGTACGCACGTAAGAAGTTATACTTCTTTGGCGTAACAGAACATAAATAGCTAAAGATTTCAACCCGTATGTCACAACTCTCTATTTGTAAAAGGAATGCAACTAACATTATGTCGCTTTTTGGCTGTCGGTATGCACGCACATCGTAAAAATTTTACTCTCATATTTTTTTACAAACGTGCCAAAAGAACTATAACTTCAATAAATTTTGGCAAACTTCAGCTGAAACTTCATCTAGATTGTAATAAATAAAATATTGTAATAAAAAAAATTCAAAATATGTGAAAGGACCATTTTCTTGATTAAAAATAATATATAAAAAAAACACATTTCATATATATTTCACAATTTAATAGAACAATCAATCAATTGATAACCCCATCGTTAAACGGATCTTTTATGATATTAATGGCCGTATCATGCATTTCTTGATCCCATACACTTGATTTTTTTGCAAAACGTTTCACAAGCACCTTAAAGAATCTCAACATTAGTTTCTTCATTTTATACCTTTCAGGTTTCTCCAAATATTCGACCATTTTCCTTAAGTTACCTTTCACTCTCCTTGTCCTTTTGATTCTTTGGACTTCATCGTATAAATATTTAGTGGTCATCATATGGTCTTTCATGAAATATATTACTTCCTTCATCCTAGCTTCATGTTCTGCTTGCATTTGTTCTGCCTTGAGCTCATTTTGCTTTTTCATACGTGCTATTTGTTTACCGTAGTTGTTACCATGATTTCTTATTGGAACAAATATTATAGCGTTTCCTTCATCTAGTTCATTTTGGGTCTTGATACTGTCGTATTTGTGAATAGTATTTTGATATTTAGCATCAGCGATGGCAAGATCTTTTAACTGATCTCTTAGTCTTAGAAAATTGAAGCTTGGATGACTTGTAACTTCAATTGAGAAAAGCACCTGCAATATAATATTAAAATCCAATTAATAATTCAATAATACTAATTCCAGCAGTGAGAATTAATAAGAATTCAATGTTCCATCCACTATTTTTTTGAACGATGGGATATGCATTTAGGCATACCACCTGCAGACATACAGGTGGTTATGTGGGACTCAACAACATAAGAAAAGCCAGTATTACCCGCTAAAACCCAACGAAACCTCTCCCGTCTTAATGGGGCGTCGCTGGATCGCTTACGCACTCAACCATGACCATCCACTATCTTCCGTTAAGTTTAGTACGAAAATATTATATTATTTTCGCATAACAAGAATAATAAATATACCTTACCTAGTAAAGACTTTTTATTCTCCCTATCTCTTAGGCACAACGTTTCTCAGTAATTCAGTAAAACATTGATTATGACAAAGTAACAAGTAAACACGATATATGTATGTATGTATGTAAATCGCCATCGTACTCGTAAATCGTAATACCAAACAACACATATCAACCTTATCTTACCGCTATTGAAATGACTAAACATTGTTTATACATATTCATTTCTAAGAAAGCAATCACATGCATTTTTATTGTGATCGATTAGTGATTACACATTATGGCATACATAAAATAAGAATTAATTAACAAAAGTTAAACTAGAGTTTAGAAACTACGTCTACTCGTACAATATATATTGCTAGGCATATATTTTTGTAATTTTTTATTTTAAAAAACCTAATAAAAATAGGCAGTGGTGGCCCAGTGATAACGCGCTCACTTGGTACACCGAGTGAAGCGGGTTCAAATTCCGGATCTCGAACCTGTGATATTTTCATGTGCGAATCATTTCTAACATGATTATCACTTGTCTTACGGTGAAGGAAAACATCGTAGGGCTATTCAGCCCTACGATGTTTTCCTATACAATAAAATATACATACAATAAAATATATTGCATCTGGTCGAGTTCGGCTTCGGCGGTCAATCGGCAATCGGATCGAATCAGGAAGAAAATATTAAAGTGTACAAATAAGCGCGTAAACTGCGTAAAAAGAAGAGCACTCTATTCCTGTCACTCTCATTCTCCGGTGAGACGATAATTTGTCAAGACCGTTGAGAGATCAGGCGCAGGACCAACGGCTTTACATGCTCCCTGAGACACGGGGTATAAACCACCCATAACTCCTAACTCTGGGTTGTTAATAAGAACTTCTTGATAAACAAAACCTAATAACTATACTTTGCTCGACCTGGGACTCGAACACAGGACCTCTAGATCTGTGGCATCTGTACCTAGCGCCTAGCCACTAGATCAACGATGCATATCGTCGATGAAGTATCAATATCTCCTAACTTAATTTTTGTTGATTTTTAGATTTTAATGCCGATCGACGTAGAATACAGTGCATGTATTGGTACAATCTCCTAACACTAAATCTACTCTACTATTAGAAAGAATTGTATTTTTGTATGTTTGTAACGAATAAACTCAAAAACTACTGAACCGATTTAAATGAAATTTAGTAAGAAGATAGTTTGAGATCCTGGAAGGGACTTAGGATATTTTTTATTCCCGATTTCTCTTAAGAGGGTAAAAATGGGGATGAAAGTTTGTATGGGGAATCAACCTAGTGACTAAGCCGAGCTAAGCGAGAGTGAATCGCTAGTTTGATATAATATGTTTATATGAAGGTAATGTCTTAATATTAAAAAAAATACTCATGTTAACACTTTTAATAAATCAATTTTAAATTTAAGTATGTTTTTACGATGTAAATAATTTTCATTGAATTTGATCCAGTAATAAAAAACCAATATATTGAGTAAGAGTAACTTAAACAGAAAAACAGTAAAAAATGCTTATATTTGTTCTTATACTTACAATTGCATACATACATGAGGTAAGAGAAATTACTAAAATATTAATGCTAGTCTACTATAATAAATGTCAGTTTATATGTGTATGTATGTTTGTTTGTTACACTGAAACGGCTGAATAGATATGAATTAAATTTAACACCTACACAAAAATTAGTAGTAAGTCCCCATTGTTCTCCTATCTCCGGACATAATAAAAAAAACATTTAAGTTGAATCTCTTTGTTGAATTATTTTAGTTTCTAGGGTTTACCAATATTAGTACCTATAGAATATTTTTTTACAGACTCAATCATCTCGTCATGTCATATCACCAGAATTTAGATTTATTAACTATCCTACTTATAAATACATACTGCCATCAAAGAGAAGTGTTTCAAGAACGACAAAGTTGAGGTGGCTTCAAAAACTTTAATAACAATAAAAATCAGTCAAGTGCAAGTCGTACATGTACATTTTATTAATATGACTTTTACTCTCTATGTATGTAATACATAGTATTTGATTATGAATGTTAAAAAAAATGTTTTTTGTATTTTTATTTTCATTATTATTTTATAGCGGCAATAGAAATACTTACACTGTGAAAGTTTCACTCTACCTGTTACGGTTCATGAGATACAGATCTCTGAGAGACAGACATATGGACAGCGGAGGCTTAATAATAGGGTTCCGTTAGCACCCTTCGGGTATGGAACCCTAAAAATTGACCACTTTAATTAAACATATAAAAAGCTTGTTAGCTTGTGAATACATACCTTAATTTTAAACAAACCTCTGTACCAAATTTTATCCAGATCTGTTTAGCCATTCTCGCATGAAAGAGTAACAAATATCCATCCATCCTTCTTCTTTCACATTTATAATATTACTAGGATGCAAATAGCTAGAGGGTATTAAAACTCGAGTCAAATGTAGTAAAAAATATATATAAAACACTTACTATAAAACAATTTTCTTATCCATCATCCCCAATGTGTTATACATGATTTAGTAAAGTCAGTGCTTTTCAACCTTTTTATACTCGGTGGTAATACCTCATAATTATCAAACATTGAATTATATGCCCAAGGAAATATATGAGTAACTCCATTTTCATCATAAATCATGGTATTTTTTTCATTACAATTCCTTGACTTGTTATCTGGAAATTCTGTATTGTATTCCTCATAATTTGCATTTGAATCTTCACTTTCAGTTCTTTTATTGGCAGCCACTGAAAACAATCAAATTAAAAATAAAATAAAAAAAAAACAAACAATTAGAAATTCTAAATCATCAACATTACATTATTCAATATTCTTTCTCTATTTTAAAAATCAGAGAGAGAGAGAGAGAGAGAGAGAGAGAGAGGAGTCTGCTAAGTTGCTATTTCTTGATATCCATTATTTATTGTTCTATACAATATTTTGTACAGCTATCTTGTGAAATTACATCACTAAATATTACAAAACAAAGTCCCCCTGCCGCATGTATTTGCCTGTATATGATTAACTCAAAAACTACCAAACAGATTTTCATACTGTTTTCACCAATGAATAGAGTGATTCGTGAGGAAGTCTTAGGTGTATAGTTTACTAAGGTTTTGTGTAAATTGCCTAAAATATGACAATAATTATTAAAGATGTTGGAAAAAATCATGCCAACTGGATGCTTTACTGCAATCTTAATCAACATTGATGCTATCTAAGTAACTTTACTATTAGATCTTTATATGATAAAATAAAAATTAAGAAATAGCTTTCATGGATATATCATTTATTCATGTTTGGAACTAAAATAACACTAAGTTGAACAAATTACACTCATTCAACACATTACCAGTACAAAAACCTAATGTGTTAGTTAAGGTCATGGTCTGTGTACCTATTTATAATGCTACTAATAAGCATTCAAACATAGAGACTCACATATCATAAACTTTCACATATATAATATTTATAAGATTATTTACTTAATATATTTAATACCCTGTATTTATTATACATATAATGATACCTTGTAATCTCAACTCGTGTAATTCCTGAGCTGTATAATGGGAATATCTACAAATCCCACCAAACTGGCATTCTCCCTTTGCAAATTTGATACATGGCTTTTTAATGCTCTCTTCTTTCAAAATTGTTTCTGGATCTGTAAGAATAAATTATTATTTTTGAAAAAAAAACTTTTTTGTTTTAAATCTAATGAGTTTTATAATATTAATGAAATATCAAAATATCTGTGGTATTACAACTAATTAAAGTAGCATATTTGTTTAAGGAAATAATTTGACATTTGAGTTTAATAATTAAATATAGAAAAACAAATTAAATAAATTAAATAAATACACCAAATGATATTTTTTGATTAGAAATAACAATTAACATACCTTTGTACTGTTGATAATGTTCACTAACTAATTTCTGATGAACTACCCCTTTAATATGAGTTCTTATGATTGAAGGGGCGGAAACCATGGTTTTATCACAATATTCGCAGTAATATCTCTTACCCATTTTTATTTAATCCTACCCTTTTATTGGCTGAGAAAGTTGTAGCACTTTACCTTAATTTGTTAATGTGAAAATATAATTACTTATGTGTTGGTTATTATAATATTTTTATCCGTAGATTATAGATTTAGTTCATTCTTTAAATCGAGACAATATATAAAATTCAATCCTCTGTTTTATCTTGCAAAGTTAAAGCTTATTAAGTGGATACTAAATACTAATTCAATTCTAATTTTAATCGCCAAAATTCAATTCAATTCTATTCAGTTTACTTCCAAAACTCTGTTTATTTATGTAAGCAAACTTAAAAAAATACAACTATTCCTTACGTCAAAACGACGTTAGCACTTTTCTGTCGGTGTGGTGTCAGTTGTCACTGACTGCAGATTATATAGAGATTCGTATATTTGTATTTTTTTTGTGAATGTGAGCTACAAGCATAAAGCTTTAGCCTAAGAAAATATATTTAATACTAGGTATTTTGAAGCTAAGATCTGTATTTAGATCCACAGAAGATAAAACAAAATAATTGTTCTTTTAAAAAAAATCTATTCCGTGCTAAGATCTGCCATTTGCCAGCAACAATTACCGAGAATCTTAATTTTCGTCTTGTTTAATCGTCAAAAATCAACAGGGATACTGCTAGATGTAGAAAAATGTTCTCATAATTGTTTACTCTACAAGTTAGGCACTTTAGACTATCATTGCCTTTAATTTAAAATATAAATTCCTATCAAAATCGTAACTCCAAAGTTTACATTGTTCAGGCTACTTGTCAGACTATTCCAACTGGCGTCCCTTAGGGAACGGTTTTATGTCCATATTTATTTTTACTATACTATTTAAATGATATTCCAATATACCTCAGAAAAAACTTAGCCCTTTGATAATATTTAATCATTAGTCAATATTTACATACTATATGGACGACAAGTCGATATTTGTATCATCAGTTGATATTTATATTTTTATGCTACGGTTCAAACACATAACGTCCTTTAAGACTGCCGCATTAGGTTAAAAAGGTAAATAAAAGTCAAATCTTATACATTGTTTATTTGCTAAGAAAATTGAAAATATGTGTTACAATTTGGTGAAGTAATGCAATAACTAATACCTGGGAACGTACATATTTTTATTGACATTATGAAAACTACTAAAAGGTTTGAACTTGTTAAAGTATTCCTTACCAGCTTCAAATTTATAAGAATTCTCAGATGCTTCTGCCAATTTTGAAATTATATTAGTTGTCATCGATTTTTGTTCTAACACTACAGGTGTATACAGATGTTTTCTGTAATATGATTTAGAACTATAATCTTCAAAGTCTTGTCTTCTTGTAACAGGAGAAATCCGATTTATTTTATAATTATTATAATTTTCTGATTTAAAGGGGTAAATTGGTATCGCTGGGTTGTTATATAGCTGAAGTTCTGAAGGACTAGGATAAATAAACGGAATGCGTTGAATTACTGGAACCTCAGTATTTTTACTGTCTGAAAAGTAAATATTTAAATTAAAATAAATGTGTCTAAATAACTTTGCTCACCAGACTATTATTCGACGAGAACTACTATTGTTAGAAGTAAGACCTAAAGAGTAAAGACGCACTTGAGTGAAACGTGGGTAGGTGGCTAGTGCAAATTGCACAATCCAAATAATATACAAATGGAAAGCTTCTAAAGATGTACGAATGTACGTTTGTTACTATATCACGCACTAATTACTGAACAGATTTTGATGAAACTTTACAGTAATATAACTTATTAATCAGAGTAACAATATGATTGCAAAGGGATGGTAATACACTAATATACTATGTGGGCGGATCGGCGGAAAAATCTTAATAAAGAATATTAAAAAAAATATATTTGTTGCCCCTAAAATGCTGACTGAATCTTATTAATCAAAATAAGTATGTCGGATTGTTAAGTTACTGTTTCTATAATAATACCTAATTTATTATTAATACGAATAGAGGCATTGATTTACAAAAGCTATGTATGTAGGTATAAAACTTTCGCAAAGCGCAAACATGGAATCATTTAGAAATGAAATGACATAAAAAAAAATTACCATATTTTTTATCAAAATTTGGGCCATGGTCTAGATTAGAAATTCTAATGCTTTCCGCAAGCTGTTTTTCTTCTTTAGTTATATCAGATGCTCGACGTTCATTATCTGTTTCAACGTTATAATTTTGTATACTTTCTAAATGCTTATTTTTGTTTTCTTTTTCTTTATTTATTGCCGACGTTTGCTTTACACTATTTTCTTCCTCTTTTCCTCTTTTTCCTTCATCTTGTTCTTTTACTACACCAGACGTTCGACGGGAGTTATTTTCTGGCACGTTAAGATTTGGAACACTATTTATATTTTCATCTTCCATAAAAGTAGTTTCTTTGGTTTCTTCAGTTAAGTCTTTGAAGTTCTTTAACATTCTTCTTGTTGATATCGTATCATCAAATAAATCCCACTCAGAATTATATTCATCGTTAGCTAAATTTGATTCAAATTCTTCCTCACCATTTTTACTAAGATTAAATTCAATTGGAATATCAGTCGACTCTTCTAAATCATCTCCAGATCTCCCATTCACTTCGAAATTTGTAGTAGTACTTTCAATGTTATTCACTTTCGCTTGTACGACATCTTCTGTTTTAGCAACATTTTCTAATTTAAATTGTTGGCTTAATTTTGGAACAGGATTTACTTCCTCGTTCTGCTTTGATTCTGAACTATTTATATTAGGTTTTGATGAAATAAATTTTAAGTCTTCTATTACAGTGTCTTCTTGTTCCTCTGATTCTTTTAAGCGCCTTATGCCAGAATGTATCTTATTTTTTTGATTTACTTCACTACTCGTAATTATATCATCTACATTTAATAGAACTGGTGTTTTTTTTGTATCAATTTTGAGAAGTGTTTCTGGTTCTGTTATTTTAGAGTCGCCTACATCTCTCGATATTAGAATTTCCTGTAATTTTATATAATCAATATATGGATATACTGTTAAAAAATTTATTTCAAATGATACTTACATCTATTGGATTTGGTAAACTTGAGGATATTATTAGTTGTATTAATATCACGGTTTTATTCATTATTGATTTATATTAATCTAAGCATATTTATTATTAGGTTTTGATGTTTATAGAAAAGCTTATTTGAATATGGTATAAAAAATCTACAATCTCTTGCAATTTCAATTGAAGGCATAATATAATCCATTAAAAGACGCTTGTCAAAGTGTTAATAGTAAATGGTCCTATGATTTACACATATCAAAACGAAAATCATAAGCCCAATTATTCTTTTAAGTAAATTTCTTTCTTATCTTGAAGACGTGAGAACTTAAATTTGTAAATCATTATTTTCGAAATAAATCATTTCAAATATAGCAGCAAGTGTTTAATCGTTTCATATTAAAGCTGATTAATCTTAACGCATGTTAACTATATTAATGACATATTCGAATACTTTGATTAAACTAGCTAGAAATTTTACTGAGTCGATTTGATTAAAACCAATGTTAAATTTATTTATGGATTCAAGGCACATTAAAAGATTCTTCACGTCGCCCGAGTATGAAAAAGGTAAATATACGCATTTAAACTTTACTCTAGGAAAATTGTTTTCACGCTCTTTCAAATGTGAATTGATGAACTTCTTAAAAAGTTAAAATTTAATTATTTAGTAGATAATAGAAGTCTTTGTGTTATTTAAGGATGTTATCTCCAAGTCAAATTTTATTCAAAACTATTCAGGCGTTATAGTGTGAAAAAGTAGCAAACACACTCACAACATCGCATTTATAATATTACTAGCAGAACCCACGGCTTCGCTCGCCCTAAAACTGCAAAAAAAACTAAAAAGGTAGGTTGGATACAAACTTTTATCCCCTATTTTACCCCCATATGGGATGAATTTCGAGAAATGCTAATACCAATTTTCAAGTTATTCTGCTCATAAATTATTTTTGGGTTGCATTATAACGTGTTTTCCCTTGGGAATGAGATAATTTCCCGCGATAAAAAGTAGCCTATGTCACTCTCCAGCCCTTAAACTACCTTCACACAAAAATTACTCCAATCTGTCACTCCGTTTCGATGTGAAAGAAGGACAAACAAACAAACACACTTTAATATTTATAATATTAAGTACGGACTTCCTTGGGTACAGTTGAAATTCAAAAGGTCCATTACGTGTATAAAGAGTTGATGCTGGCATACAAAAAAATAATTAGTCTAACTGGTTGATAGAAGAATAACGTAAATATTAACTATGAAAAAAGAACTGTCTGACATAATATGATTTTTGTATTTTTTCAATGATTTTGCAATTATTTTCTTAGTGTTTTAATTTAATATGACGACGGTATGTGTTTTAGAATTTAATATATTAAATATTTGGAAAAAATATAATAAATTTGAGAACGAAATTTTGGAACATATGTATATACTAAATAAGTTTTCTGTCTGCATCTTACTTGCGAGATACGATGATAAAAATAGCATAGGTTCTTCAGGAATCCCGTAGCCTTCTACAGAATTTAAATTCAGTTTATAGTTCTTAAGAATATCTTCGACAAAACATACAATTTTAAATTTGTATGATAACGTATATTATACCGTTATCATTTATAACTAAACTAGCAGAATCCGCGGATTCGCTCGCGCTAAAACTACAAAAAAAAACTCTAAAAAGGTAGTTTCATACAAACTCTCATCCTCTATTTCACCCTCTTTTATGATCAATTTCGAAAAATGCTAAAACACGTATTTATTTAATTTTATTGAAGAACATTATATTATTAATACCAAGTTTCAAGAAACAGAATTCCAAAAGAATCTGGTTCTCTCATTTCGAATGTCTTCTGTTAACTATATTAAATTAAGCTAATATTATCTTTAAGAATTTATAAGTGCATCAATAAATAAATATTTAAGTAATTAAACAATTTATTCCTTAGCTTCGTACTACAGGCCCTCAACCGTCGGGGGCAAGTCGTGGGAACTGGAAGAACTTGGCTGAAACTCAAGAAGATGAAGATGCTTTTGATTACGTTAAATTTAGAAACCAACCTAAACCATCTGGGTATGTAGTATGTATAGAAATATAAAAACCATGTAGCTATATATAAATATAAGCCATCTATATCTATACATACATATAATAAAATTATAACAAAGCCGAACCTGTACATTAGATATTTTTTGGAAAATCTTATTGAAATAAACATTATTATCGATACAGAGGCCGAATCTATAATTTTTAGAATTTTTGTCTGTCTGTCTGTTACCGCATCACAAGAAAACTACTGGAAGGATTTTGAATTTTGATGAAATTTGATATGTTGATTGCTGGTTACTCGGGTGAACATATAGGATACTTTTTACCGCGGGAAAATATCTCATTTCTGAGAAAAAATACAAAAACTGCATTGTAAGAGTATACTAATACGTAAAACCTAAGAATTTGGTTTTTGGTCATCTGAATGCTAATACAATATGTTATGTATCTTAGTAGTCTTTCACTTTTAAATTCCCTCAAAGATCAAATTTAAAATTAGTTTAATTTTAGTCAATTTAAAATTAGTTTTTTTTTCATGTAATTAAATTTATGTAATTAAAATAATTATATATTTTAACATCATTTGTAAAATGCAGAGTAGTTGGCTCAGTGGCACACATGGTAAAGGGTGCATTGGGCGGTGGAATTCTGGGTGGTCATGTGGCATATATGAAAGCTGGTGTTTTCGTCGGTATCCCATTCAACCTCATATTTGGCTTATACATGACTTATTGTTTATATGTAAGTATACTTATAATACTAAGTAGGCACTATATGTTGAGTTGTCCACGTCTTTAACACCTTTCTTTAAGCACTAAAGTCACAACTGAAGGGACCGTTTATAACGCGTTGAATGGGGAGCTCAAGATTTGTCTTTGGATGTTCTCAGTCGATACAAAATAAACTTATTTGAAAATAATGTCCAAAATAAATACCTTAGTTTATTTTTGTACTAGCGGCTCACCCTCGCTATTACACGTTCGCTAAAAACTATATTTATATTACCACATATCATTTAGTCATTCTTATTTAAAAATATTTTTTAACTAAACTTATATAATATTAAATTATTTGACAGATTCTAGTTCAATCAGCTCAAGTGCTATACAGAAGAACTCGAGTCACTTTTATGACATACCCTGATGTCGGTGAGGCAGCAATGGCTTGTTTTCCAAACCCGAATGTCGCAAAATATTCGAAGATTTTTAGGTAAAAATGAATAGATGAAATACACATTTGAGAACTTAAAAATATCAAATATAAGTCTAAATATTTAGTTTTATACAATATTAAGTAGTTTTACAAAAAGTATTATTGATGCATTATACTCGTAATATTTAAAATTGTTAAAAAATATAAAAGAAAAAATAAGAAGTGAACACTTCAGCGGACTACGTATAAGGTGTGTGTGTGGAGTATCTTAAATATAATATGTAGGTGGCCCAAATTCTTGCAAGAATTGCATTAAATAGATATCTCAATATTTTTTTATTTTTATGAACTACTAGACTAGGGTTATGTACGAAACAACACATCAGACAAACGGCCTCCACGGCGTTGCTGGGGCATGCGCATTCTTTATTATTTCGACAGTGATTTTGTTGAATCTCCTCTCTTCAAATAACCCCATAGAAGGAAATCGAATGGTGATAAATCACAACCAACCAACCAACACTTACCGCACAAATGGCGGAAAATTCAAATCTTGTGTAAATTTTGCGACACCTATATTTATAGGTTTAGGTACTCTCAAGCTGCATAATTAATTTCGAAATTTTAAGTGGAGACTCTTATGAAAATGAAAACGAGAATGGCAAATATAATAATATCTTGTTCTAGTTCTAGTCTAATATTTAGTAGTTAGTTAACTGACACGCCGGCGTGTCCGCGGTCGTGGAGTGATTAATTTTGATTTTTGATTTCCAACGTTTCATAGATACAATCATAGATACGGCCTACCGTCTTCGGCCTACCGTTTTCGTCGGCCTCTTCCGTTTACTTAAAATGTCAATTATTCGAGTAAATCTAAAGTATTATTAAAATGTATATCTTTTGTAGATACACAATAGATGCGATTATATGTATTGACTTGTTCGGAGCGTGTGCCTGTTATCAAATTATTATAGCGAAATCTATAAAGCAACTTGTAGAGAACACTCAATTAACACACATTTATGGTTTGGGTCCAGGTAAATAGAGTTTTTTTTTAATTATATAATTATACTATTTTAACTAATATTAACCAAGAGGTAACGTGCCTTGCAAAAACATTGTTTTATGAGTTGAGGCCATCGATCAAAAAGTACTAGATACACAATCAGTGATAAAAAATGTCCTCACCGAATGAGCGCTCATTTGAAGATTTGAGCGCGCTTTTAATTCAATTTTTTTTGTGAAATAAACTGTAAACATTGCATTTAAGGATCAATTTATATTGTTGTATATTTATTTCATATTAGAATAATTACCTAAACACAATTGGTGACAATTTTAATAGAACTTTTGCATGGGATTGTGTATCTAGTAACTTTTTGATTGATGGTTGAGGCTATAAGCAAAGACGAATAATACATCTTTAAGACATAACATATTTAAGTGCAACTCGTAGTCGGTAATAAGGATTTCATACAATATGTGAATACATGGAATTTTTTTCCAAAATATATATATATTTTCTGTAAATTTTTACCTATGCAGTTGTGGAGAAATGAAAAAAGCATTTCGAAATATGATTCAAATAAAGTATTTTTATTTTATTTCCGACTTTTATACACTTAACACTTTTTTCAGGATATCCTGATTTACGCGTGTACTTGGCGGCTTTGATTTTGCCGATCATATTGATCTGTTTGATAACTCATTTGAAATGGCTAGCGCCGTTTTCTATCGTAGCGAACATCATTATATGTAGGTGTCTTTGTGATGACTATGTACTTACAAGTGGTGAAGTGGTAAGGTAAAATATATCTAATTATAAAAATGTTTGTTTGTTTAAGTATTCTGCATATTTTTAACAATCTACTATGCATTTGACTTGAATCCAACTTTCTCAAATATGGTGGGAGTCACCAAGTTGTACAACTTCTTTGAGTACGTCGGCATGTCGGTGTTCAGCATGTCCTGCTCGGGAGTAGTGATACCGATAGAGAATAATATGAGGGAACCCCATAAGTTCCCTCAGGTATTGATGACTGGTAAGAATTGTTTAAGTTATTAAAAATTCTATTGTAAACCAAAATATATTGATATTAGTTCTAGTAAAAATTAAAAAGGACTTTAAAAACTCCCTTTCAGCTAAGATAAAGTATACGTATATGATATAACATAAATAAAATAATGGGGTATATTTTTTTCTTTCACCCAACTGCTCCTGAAAGAGGGTAATGTTAATGGTAAATGAATGCGCGTACATACTACTTTTTTGACGTACAGACAGACATACAGCATGTCTAAACGATATATGGATTTTAAAATTAAACGTGTTATAGCAGCGTGATCTAGCTTTATTTATTGAAACAATTAATTTACTTATAATATTCTTCGCATATGCCTTTATAATTATTATTATTTTATTTTTTTTATATATTTTTTCTACTATTAAATATTTTCTTTTAGGAATGGCTCTTATTATAATGTGCACATTTTCGGTGTCGTTCTTTGGATATGTAGGCTTCTTAGAGAACTGCGAATCTCCTATCACCGTTAACTTTCCTATGACTATGTTAGTACTTTTTCTTTTATATATTTTTTCTAAATAAAACTATCTTTTCGGATTATTTCGCGGATTTATTTTGATTTTTGGTTCCCGACGTTTCGAATGCTTTACAGCATCCATGGTCACGGGAGAGTCCGCGAAATAATCCGAAAAGATAGTTTTATTTAATTATGTCAAACATTCGCGTAAATCTAAGAAAGTATTATATTTTTTCTTTTATTTCTCAGCTATTACAATATACCTGTTGCTTTGCTTGCTAAATAACATTAAATGTATAAATACAGCTAGCTTTTAAAGTTTTTTTAAGTCGGAACTTTAAGTTGTATTGCTTGTATGTTCAATTTTCATTAAGATACTGATCGACCAAATAGTTTAACTAATTTTTGGTGCTTGCCTGTTTTGGGTAGTTTACCGGGTTGATCTTATAATATTCTGTACTTTTCTGCTAAAACTAGCAAAGTTGAATGATAAAAGCCCAATTGTTCAATGAAAATCACTCATTTTGGACCTTATCGGTAACTCGTAAACTTCAGATTATAATTTTGAATCAATTTTGAACCCTTTTAGGTTTATGTTAAGATTAGTTTTATCATAATAGTTGCATTTCAGCTTGCCTAAAATACTCAAAGGTGGCATTGCAGTAATGATTTACGTCACGCACGCCTTAAACTACTGGGTGCCTTTCAACTTGTGCTTCTATTATATCAAGTCCCATCACAACCAAGAAAAAATATTAATGTGGGAATTAATTTATAGAGCAATCTTTGTCGTCATAATCGGAATTATCGCTATAATTTTTCCCAATATCAATGCGCTTATGGGTTTTGTAAGTATAATATGTACTTATATGATTTTTTTTAAATATTTGTTTTCATCTTTCTTTAACACGATCGAAGTATCTAACAATGCAACGGTTTGAGATGATTTAGTACGAGATGATGACATTTATGCCAGTTATTATACCGATTTCCCTTGAAAAAGGACACATTTTGTGTCTGACGAAAAAAATATTGTTAAGTAGAGGTACCTAATAACTGAAATGAAATAAAAAAATATTTTTATTAATGGAAAGTAAGGGGGCAAATGTGGATTTGAAATGTTATTTTTCTCTTCTACTTTTTTGTTATTTTTATAAAAATGCTAGCTTTTGTCCTCGGCTTCGTTTGCTTGTAGCTTCATAGTAATGATATTAGATGACCTATAATCTTATAAAAACATTATTTAATTCTGACTGGTAGTTAGCTCTACATGTAATGAAACAAAAACAAATAAAATAGTAGAATCTGTACATTAAATATTTTTTGGAAAATATTATTGAAATAGACATTATTATCGAAACAGAGGCCGAATCTATAGTTTGTAAAATCTATCTATAGTTTTTGTCTATCTGTCTGTCTGTCTGTCTGTCAGTTACCGCATTACGGAAAAACCACTGGAGGGATTTTGAGGAAATTTGGTATGACGATAGCTGGTTATCCGGGTCAACTAATAGGGTTCTTTTTACAGAGAAAAATATCTCATCTCTGAGAAATCGATACTAAACGTTAAAATAATAATACGTTAATATAATTATATAATACGTTAATATAATAATAAAAGTTAAAAAAATTCAGCTATCATAGTATATTTTTAATTTTCAGCTGGGAACCTTTTGCCTATCAAACATGGCATTCATTTGGCCTAATATGATTTATTTGATGACAATTTGGCAAAGACCTGGTCTCGGGAAGTACAATTGGCGACTGTGGAGAGGAATAGTTTTAATTTCAGTTGGCGTTTTTATCCTCGTGTGCGGCTCAGTTGTTAATTTCAATGAATTGTTATCAGTTTTCAGATAAAATTGTGGAAGATAATTTTTTATACTTTGCTTAACTTTGTGATAAAAGAAAAAAAAAATGAAGTCATACATACAGCATTTTGCCACAAAGTTGCTTATTTGATGAAATTTGGCAAGTTGTGCTTTCGAAAGTTCTTAAACGCGTGAATAGTCCACTTAGTTGGTAGATGGGAACTCTCTGTAATTTATCGCAAAATATTTATTTGACAACTCAGTCTTGTTTATGATTCTTTGATAACAATTTTTAACTTAATGTGTAATATACTTATTTTATATTTTCAAGTAAACGTGTGTTCTTTCAGCCAACTAGTAAAATGCAAAAATGAATGTACCTACTTTATAGTTTATTGTCTTCTATAACGAAATGAACCCCTTTTTCATTCTGCCTGTCTTAGGCTACTAAGAAATCGAAATGAGAAAACCAAACAAATGATTTTAGACAATATATCCCCAGCTACTAATTACGACGCACAGGATCTTAATTAAAAAAAATTTGTAACTTATACACTTAACCTATACTAGGAATATTTCACAATACCACGTGCTTAAAAAAAGAATGTATAATAGATACGTTAGATGTTACAATTGTAAATATTTAAGAAAAATTTCATTATTATATGTGAAAGCAGAAAGATCAAGGAGTCTGGGGCTTTTGGGTATTTATTTCATGAAACGGTGTAGCAAGTGGCAAATATAACTTGAACCGCCATTATGCTTGCCGCTTTGGATCATATTATAATAATAGAATTAAGAACAGTGTGCACAGATGTGGTTTTTTTTTATTTAACAAAGAATATTTTGAATTGATTAATCGTTTTTCCGTATGAAATGTATGGGAAAAGTTTTTGGCGATTTCTGTAATTTCTAGTAATCTTACCTTAAATGGCGCCATAGAGTATTTTAATCCCTACATAAAATAGGATCGATTGACATATAATTATTTTTGGTATTTTAGCATTTTTTTCGCTAATTGTACATTTTTTCCAAAATTTGTGAATGCAGTTCAGATTTATCTCAAAAAATTATAGATGGTCTCCTAGGAACGTTTTCCTGTAACTATAGCAGTTAAGGTACCTGCCCTTACTGTCGCGTCTCAAAAATCTACCCTGTATAAGTTATAATCACCGATAAACACTTCAATTTATACTTTGTGTAACCTAAATAAATTATATAGCAAATAGTAGGTATACTTACGTAAGGAGATTATTTTCATTCGCACTTGATTTATTTCGTTCGGAATTAAATTTAAACATTTAAGTTTCATATAATTCAAAAATTAAACATCCACTCTTGTACACACATGTTTATTCTTATGTCAAAGCTCAATATATATTGGCTAACCAACATCCCCGGCTAAAATATAAATAGATTTGAACGCGTGCGTTCGTACGGTCTAAATACCGTCCGGCGCTCGCGCTGCCCGGACTGTTGGAAATTCCTATTCTTAGGGATTTTTAAACGAAATACGATTGGAAAGGCCCCTTTTTGAGTGTTAATTCTATATAAAACGAAAAGATTTTGTTGTTTGTTTAGTGAAAATGTGTGAACAGTGCGTACAGCGGTAGTTTTTGGATGTGATGTTCTTTGGTAAGTACTGAGTATACTTATTATTATAGTTTAATATAAATATGATACTTATATAATTCATATTATGTATCTACTATTTAAAATTGTTACACTTGTCTCTAGTTAAACTAAAAATCTGAAGGTATAATCTAGAAAATATAGTGGCAATATATTATTTTTATGAGAATAGCTGTTCTAGCAATAACTTTAATCGTCGCAAATTATATTTCGATAGCCTTTACAAAGTTATATCTATCTCTTAAAAATGCTTCTGAAGGAATTTATTATTTAAAATGTCTTGAGCTCTGAATCTTTTACTATGATTTGAAGAGCAAGGTCCTTTTACATTGGCTAGTTCAATCACCGTATCTATAAGATATTCATGCGGAAGAAGCAGTCTGGCGTTAAAAGATGAGAGTTAACAAGATTGAAATTACCTTATACCTAAATTATTTTGTTCGACCTTGGCTTGGTAATGCGATTTAGTTCTTTATTTATGCAAGACTGTATACAGCCACTACAGATAGAAAAAAAAATCGTATGTATACTCGTATATAGAACACCTACCTCTATCTTGAGTAATGATTAAAAAAAAAACAATTGTCAATTTGAAAATTTAATTAAATTAATAAGGAATATGCTCCCTCGTGTTTGTTTTTACTTAGCGTCTTCGGTAAATGACCATAATGTTGCAAAGTAATAAATTGTTGCCGCTAGTTTATTCGAAGACATCAAGTACGCTTTCATACAAGCAACCAACCAACCTCTGTGGTGTTCGTCTATGCAGGTGCCAGGCAGGCAGGAAAAGTATGACGACGAGGATATTGATTGACGTTTGGGCGGGACGTATGATTTTCTGTTGTGTATATAAATTTTATTAATTACTTAAAATAAATATTCATAAAAATTAAATTGTTACACACCTAGTATAAAATTAAATTGTTTCAGTAAATACTTAAATGTAAAGTCAATAAATATTAAGTTTTTTTTTTAATATTCGTTCAAACAAATATTATTATAATAATACAAATATTAATGATTTTCTCGTATATTCCTATTCATTTTATTAATTAAAATTACAGCAATAAAAATTGAAATTTAATCAATATCAAGTTCCTATATCTTTTCTGTTCTACGTTACTAATTTATAATATACTAGCGAGTCACCCTCGCTTCGCTCGGGTTCGTCCCTAGCTTGCTTCCCAATACAAAATTTAATCCCCATTTTTACCTCCTTAAGGGATGATTTCCGGTTTAAAAATTATCTTATGTTCTTCCCATGATCTCGCATTATCTTCTTACCAAATTTCATCTAAATCGGTTTAGTAGTTTCGCAGCTTATTCGGTACAAATAAACAAACCAAAAAATCTTTCCTTCTTTATAATATTAGTATAGGTAGGCTTTATTTAATAGGAAACTGTACTCGATTTAGAGGTTCATGTTTCAGTGAAAATCGAATTTAAGCTCGTTACAATGCAGCTGTCAACATTCAGTGTTGTCTATGCAACATCCACTTTTACCTAAGAAAAATATTCTATGTACATTAGTAAATATTACACGTACATTGTACATTCATTAAATTTAAAAAAAATGAGTATTTATAGGAATATTTAAAAAACTTTTATAATATAAGTAACTTAGTTAAAATTATATTTTGTTAGCTATTTAAAAACAAGAAAATAAAGGTATAAATACCAATACAATATGGTACTTACTACTTTATGGTAATTTTTCTGTGCCATGGTAATCGAAAGCTATACTATAAATTGGTTGTGAAGCTTGATTTGTGAACTTAGATGAAAAATATACAAAACAAAGTTCAAAATCTAATGAATTTATTCCTATTTCTTACTAGCA